TGTTGAGTTGTTGGAAATTCCCCAAACTTGCGAGTTCTTTCGCAATAAAAAACTAATTTGGTTAAAGCATCAAACGACTTTCATGCGAATTCAAACGTAGCATTTTACAACTTTACTGAAATAGGATATGCGATATGACTTTGACCTGATTATGAGATTCTTGTGGTACTGTCTATAAACAACAAAACAAGTTTGAATAACAGAACAAAAATGCGGGTTAAAGGTCCTCTAATATTTTCAACAGAGTTCACCCAGGTAAACTCTCTTCAATTTGTATTTTAAACGGAAAGTTGGTATAACCTTGGTTTCCAAACGCAATTGTGAGTCAGCCCGGATTGAGTCAACTGCCAACTCTGATTCTTTCTTGAATAATTTTGAAAGGTTTTCTGCCGAACGTTACATTTCTTTTCACTTCCATTTTTTACCTCCCCTTCCTTTCTTTTCATGCTTTCTCCAATTGTTTTAACTGATTTCCTTCTCATTTTTTCAGCTTTTTCAATTTCTGCTGTTTGTTTTTCTTAACTTGCTGGGATGCTGCTTGCTGATCACTAATTGCTGCATCAAAAAGCTCCCTTATCTTGCAAGGAGAACATGTTTTTCTGTGTGCTCAGGATTAATTCCACTTGCACTTTTTTCTCTTCTATTTTTGGACTTTTTGTTGGTGAAAATATTCTGGAAGCGATCTATCACTGCTTTGTAGGGATACACCAAATTTTGGCCTTTCTACCTGCGAAAAAATTATCCACAGTTTTTCCCCACCCATCGCTCCTCAGCCCACCAGGACACGGCGAAATTTTCCGGTACACCCTTGCTTGGAGTTATATTTTTCAAAAAACTTGAAGTTCTTCTTAAGGCAATTATCAATATTCGCACAGAACTAAAATTAATTACAACCATCAATTGACCTCTCGAAAGAACGTTTGCATAAAAAGTTCGTCGTGGTTATGGTTTCGGCGTCATAGATTTTACAGCTTAGTTAGCTTCACCATTAGATTGAGAAAAACTATATCAATGATGTATCAAATTTCCACCAGTTTTTCCCAGTTCCTCGTAATTGTATAATTTATTGAATGGTTTTCCGAAAACTTCAAAAACGCCCAAGACTTGTGATTAACAAAGACTTATGACCAGCGCAAATTAGTTTCTTCACTTATGACTAATGCGAATTATTTCAAATGCCTGATATCGAAAAGCTGAGAGGTTTCTCACTTTTGAATCATTAACTGAGTACAATCCTATGTCCTTTCCATTCAGAATGGTTGTATCTGGATAAGATTATCGATGCGTTGGCAGTTGGGTATGGGAACGTTCACATATTACCCAATCAAAGATGGAGGGAGGGGGTTCACACAAATGTTTACGGTCATAATGATCAATAAATGATGCAAATTAGATGATAATTTAGGGGGAAGAGGGTTTTTCCAATGTTGCCTATATTTTGTTATGTAATTTGTGCATGTTCCTTTCTTGAATGATAATGCTCGTTCCAGGGCCTATTTTAGTGTGCAGTATTACACACTTTGTGCAGTGTTAATTTAAAAACGTGCAGTATTTATTTCGAAAATATACAGTATTGAATTTTGGGATATGTGAACATGTCTATTTACGGCTATCCCAGATTCCTGCTTTGTTCACAAAATGTGAATTTTCCTCGTCAGTTCGATATAGAGTTCATGTATTGTAATTCTCGTATAACCATCGGAAAGACACTCTTATCAAAACTTAAAACAAAGCGAAATGCCCAAAACCAAAAACAAAACATCTCCTGTAAATGTCAGCATTGTTGTAAATTTCGTAATTTGATCTTGTCGAAGATAAAACATTCAGTAATAATTTATCAGTTGCCCTATGATGCTCGAGGCATCTAGCAAAAACTCACTTAACTTAACTAAAATGAAGATAAAGAGCCTAATAAAACTTGTTAGTTAATAGATCACCTTTTTTCAAACAGACCCAACAACCTCTGTAATGTATCGGTCGTAAAAATCGGTATTACAGACCACTATATGACATACGGTACTAGAAAATCAAAAGCTAGAGTTCATGTCAATGACGTGAAATTTAAGACAGAGTCACGCAGTTTGGAAAATTATGACCGTAACTCTTTCCTTAATGACTTGCGTAGTATTGACTGGGAGATGGCTATGTCATGTAGATCGGATGACCCTTATAGGATGCCTAGCAATTTCTACGATCTCTTTCTCGCTGTCTTGGATGTGCATGCCCCGTTGAAAAAAGGACCGCTAAGACGGGGCATGCACATGTACCATGGATTTCTCCAAGCATCAAGAATTTGATGTGCGAGAGAGACCATATATTAAGAGACGGGCTGAGAGAGATCCAGCACTTTGGCCAAGATATAAGCAGCTTCGAAACCAGGGGCGGTCTGGCGTCAAAATCGCAGGGTGGCTAGAAAACTCAAGGGCCCGGTTTAGGGCGTGGCGGGAAAAATTGAGCCACACCCACTAGAAATATGGCTTAGAATACGATTGCTTCAGTAAAAATTGATGATAAAGCAATACGCTAAACAGCAGTAGTATATCGACTTTAATTCGTAAAATCGGACCCAATTGGATCCATACCTTTTCTCTCGTGTTAACAGGCTTTAAAATCCCATGTAGAGTTAAGAATCAAGATCAAAACTTATTTAAATTCTCAAAGTTTCAACTCTTTTCGAAGAAGTGCAAATGAATCAGCAAATTGGCCAACGACTTGCTCGTAATCAAGTGGAAAGTTTTCTCTTCTTTTGAAATTATCAGTAGCGCTGAACAATCTTTCAAGATCTGAATAAGCGCTGAATAAGCTAAGTGTCATCAAGCATTTATACGCGTTGTAGAGGGAAGGGTATGCTGCTAGGTGCATGTTGTATTCACTAATTTCTTTATAAAAACCAGTAAATTTAGGTTCGGGCTGACTGTTCTTAATTTTCGCAAAAATCCGGGGGTGGATTGTCCTTAATTTGTTCTTACATTAATAGGGTGTAAGCAGAGCAGTGCGATTGCTAGCTTTTTCGCTCTTGGGAGCTGTTCAGGCATTATTTGCCAACAAAGTGAGTGAGACAGCCTTCATTTGACGACAAGATTGTATATTCACAGAAAAGCAACCACACATGGCTAAAAATCCTCGTTTTGGGATAAAATGTTGTTCAAAAATGCATTAAACAGTAACTCAGTCTTAGCTTGTTTTTAATATGATCTCAACTTTTGACCAGTTTTGATGCTCATATTCTTATAAAATTGTTAAATATAATAAAAGATATAAATATATAAAAATAAATAAAAATGAGCGTCGGTACAAAGTTTTGAATGCGCAGGGTATGCACAGTTGGCAAGCTTTTACCCTTTTGATAAAGGGTGTTTCGATGTCGACTTTGGGGTCTTTTCTCTCTTTGTGAATCCCCACCTTGAAAGTCACAGTTTTCCTTCCCATATGTTTCTTCTCTAAGAGCTTGTTCCTTGAGATCATCTGTTTTCAGGATCTCTATTTCCACCAGTTGTTGTTTTCACTTGATCGATAAGCTGCTGGTAGCAATTTGCAAATGCCAGCAATTCTGACATTTTATGAACTTGAAATCTTGAAAAAAGGCTCTTATTGCTCTTTTGCTTCCTCTTTGTGTCAACTTAAAAGGGGGTTATACAAATGTGGGTTCGAAGGTCGTCCGCAGAAACGTACACGATCAATACGGCAAAAACTGTTATCCAATTCTCTATACACTTCTTCTAATTCATCAGTTCACGGCAAACGACCAAAAATATCTTACACGGCTAACGGCGACAATGTAACGGCAAACACAATTCTGCAAGCTAGCGACAAGGTACACGGAGTTCGACAATCTTACGGCAAGACTGAACCTAACTATAAAGCCACCCCTTATAATACAATTTACAGAAGCCGATGCAATTGCAGCGCAATGATGCAATTGTCATGTGATGTCCTGCAATGAATAGGAACCCTGTGTTCTAACAACGCCCCTGGTCAGCAATACTGAAATGTTTTCTTTCTAAGGATTTTATCTTCTTTCTTATTTTCTCGAATTTATCTACGGAGGGCCCGGTTATTATGAAGTTGAGAAGGCCCGGGTTGCGATAGCAGCCTAGCGTCCCTGCCAGTCCGCCACTGCCCAGGGTACACGCAAGATTGAACACATGGCTGGAATAACGGAAACCAGGGTTTGGGTGGTTTGAAGCGCATGTATTGGGATTTTAATCGCAATATAATCAGTCTAGGGCATTAAGTATTTGACATTAAGTTAAAAAATTTTCTCCAACGCGGAAAGGCCCGTAAATCTTTTTGTACACAGGGCCCGGGTGGAGATCGCCATTTTGCCACCCGGGCCAGACCGCCCCTGACCACACTCGTTGCTTGTAATTATTCTTCAGCACAATGCGTCCCTCCCCGTATCTTTAGGCCTATAAAATACCTTCGGTATACACTTTCACGACAAAGATTTCTAATTTCGCCTTACTAAGAGGAAAGGTCTCTTCTACAAATTCAATTTGACAAACTAAATAAAAAACATTCGCCATGTCCTACTCATGCCATATTAGGTTCTAAACGACAGACAGAAAAATTCAAGAATTATATATCTAAAATGGTCTATATTACTAGGTAATAGACTTAAAAAGATTTTTCTAATCTATATGAAGATAAAAATTGCAAACACATACTTTTTCAACTCATAAAAACACGACAAGCCAGTGCCATATTCCCCCCGTAACTGCGTAAACTAGAAGAGCCATAATTTTTAAAATTATTGTGTTGCTATGTGTTGTTGATTTATATCTCCTCTAACTACGAGCATCAGAAAGGCACTGAAATAGTTGTGAGCCACGAGAAAATCATTCATTAAAACAAGCAATTTTCCATACTGAACCCTATTGCAGCTCGCTTTTTGCCACTATTTAAAATGGCGGAAGTAAAAAAATTTGCCCCGAGTTAGACATCTAGCGCCTTCGGCGCTTCTATATCGTTGCCCAAAAGAAACAAAAGTTTGTTTTCGAGGCTATCTATCACGTGACAATATGCGCGGGAAACATCGTGTAGTCTGTCCTTAGAATTAGTGCACTGTGTGGTGAAAACGTAAACATACATATATTGAATTGAAATGGCATCTCGCCGAAAAAGAGCTGTAGAGGGTAAATAAGATTTTGTTTTATTTTCAAATAACTTTTACGCTTATAAGTTCAATTTAGAAAATAAAGTTTGGATGATGTTTCCATGCCATGAATCCTGGCCTATCCGCGGATCAGACTCTCAAGTTAGTGCCCCAAATGATATACTTTACTAGGCCCCCTTTTTCAAATAATTTCAGCATCGTATTTCATGATTGGAGTTAGATAATAGAGTTGAGCTAAATACATAGATATCGGCAATGATTCTAACTCGCATTGCTTTTGTCCTGAGAAATATAGCCAACAATTTCTGTAATCTAAATATAGCATCGTGGTTTTTATTGAAGCCGTGTAAAAACAAAAGTAAAAAAAATGTTGCCACCAAAAGCTGAACTTTTTCAAAAAATTTATTTACAGGGAACATTGTAAATTGAATAGAATTCAAGTTCTACCAAATGCCTTTTGGTGCATTTCTTCACATAGTTCAACTTGTGCATTTTCCAAAGAAACCATTTCAACATAACAACATATGCAGACATAACAACACAAATCGGCTAGCTGAGATCTCTCCTGAGAACTTCCTGAAAAGGCCAATTTATTCCTGTATAAGCAGATTTCATTTGCACATACACAATCCTTATGCAATCTACACCAATCATTTCGAATAGATTTAAAAATATCCTGGCAAGGCAGGGAAAATGTCTGCATATGTAAGGTCAATAATTATTTCCCCTGCTAGCCAAGATTCCTGCGAAACCACCTGAAAAAAGCAGGTTAAATTTTCTCCGTATGAACAGGCTCTTAATGTTAGTTGTGAACATTCATCTTAGGTTTACCTTATGATTGGTTACTTTAATCTGAGAGACATGTCATAACCTTTGTTTCAGATGACACTGAAGACACACTAAAAAAGAAAATCAAAAAGGAGGATCTGGACAAAGAATTGATATGGGAATGGGAAGATGATGGAAACAGATGGACCACATACTCTGATGACCTTTGCAAAGAAATAAGTGAAAATTTCAAAGAAGGGAAGCTGAAAGCTCCATTTGTGAATAATGGAACTAAGTTTGAAGCTATATTTTCTCGCATGGTGCAAAGGAATAAATTATCATGCTGGGAAAGACAGATAAGACTTAAACCCAACAGTGAAACCAATTTTGGTGAGTTTATCTTGTGTCAAAATTTCAATTTTTAAGTTACTGATATACATGAAGTAAAGTTAACCTCTATGAGATGAAAGGCATAGGATTTCAAAAGTTTTTGCCATATATCTTTAATCAAATCTTAATGTCACATGACATATATGAATATTCCAGCCAAGAAACATTGTGTTGTGAGATTTGCATTGTGAATGCTTGTTCATCTTTTGTGTTATCTTTTTGTCAAACAGAAGAAACGCCATTAATGGGACTGTATGAAGACTCTCATATAGTCCCATATAGTCCCATCTCTGTTATATTAACTTTGTTTAAAGCGGCTGTGTCACGATTTTGTAATCAAACCAAATACATGGGACATTGTGCATTTTTAGCCTGACTTGCACATTGGGATAATGGCGGATGGTGCTCCAGTGCATCGAAAAGCTTGATAAATTGTATTTTCTGAGCGTATTTACCGAACATGGAATGGACAATTGCTATATTTCAGCATATGTACCAACAATCAAAACGATAAGTGTATGTTAATTTGGTCTAGGCTAAGGAAATGAAGCTTCATTCAATCATGACAAAGATATTACGTTTGTCTTGGTGAATTCAGATGGAATTAGACATTCTAGAACAAAATGATTGCTTAAAATTTGTCCAGCAAACTTTAATAATGTTTCTCGCTCATAATATTCATCGTTAAGGTAGGTTTTTTGGTGTCATTTCGGCCAATTACTATAAACTGCTGTGAGTTGCGGAATCCTAGCCATAAAAGTGGCCTTTGTTTTTTCGTATGGCAATCTTTTATCCAAAGAAATATGGTGGTAAGACTAAAGAAAGAACCTTTATTATTTGTTTCCTTTCATAAAACATCAACAAATGCAAAAGGTTCGTTTGATGAGCACAAATAGAATAAAATGTTTTATTCCATATTGGTTTTCCTATTGAACACAGGGTGTTTCACCCAAACAACTTTCGCAAACTGGTGTGTTGCCACGCAGGATGTCCCTTGTGACACTGCCCCTTTAAGTCTATTGTTTATCATTTTCATTTTTTTTATTTCATCATTTGTATTATTCTAAGTAAATTGTATTTAGTTTTAAAAGATTTTGTATGTAGTTAGATTTTTGAATATGAATCTGAAACTGAAACTGAAACTCAATAATTTCACAGTTTGATAAACACCACAACAAAATGGAGTAGCATTGTTTGGCAACTTGTAATATTATGTGTGATGTGGTTAATTATCTTATAAGAACTGAGCTATTTCTGAACAACTTGGCTCTATAGCTGTCATGTTTCTTTAATGTGACCACTCCAATTTAAGATTAGAAGTAGCCTAATGTATAAGAAAGTAAACACCATCTCCATCTTTTTACATTTATGAATAAAAGTTTTTTGCCCTAGTGAATTGGCAGTGGCAAGATGAGAAAGGAAAGTGGTGCTTGTATGACCAGCCAGTGCAAAGATTGATTTATGCTGCCACAGTATATGGTTTGAAACAGGTTGAGTTTGCAACAAAGGGAAACACATATGTTTTAAATTTCAAAAGAATGGAGCAAGCAAATAAATCCAGTAAAGCAAGACGGAAGATTAGACAGGTGGTTGAAAAAGATGATGGTAAGTTGTTTTTAAATGAGAACAATATATATTCAATTATATGTGGCTGCTATAACAATCTTGATGGCTGAAGGCAAATCAAGCCTTTTCGTTTCATATAGACAAGCAATCCTCATCCTGGCCATCACTCTTGCCAAATTATTGATGCAGGCTATAAACCCTCCTTGCCAAACATGTCTCGTTGGCAAGAGAAAATAAATGTACTCGGGAAAAATGATTGTGGCAAATGTGACTATTGTTGTTGTCATTATTATTCAATTCACATCTCTACAATAGCAACCAAACTTTTTCAAAATTTTGTCATGTAAAGGAAAGCATCATCTTCAAGGGTTGTCTTGGGGCCCATCTGATGCAAAGTTTGGGAAAACACATTTTAAGAAAATCAAAGGTTAGGCAGTTGTTGGCAAATAATGCCTCACTTTCCCCTCAGGTCCTGACTGTCTTTGTTTAACAAATAATGCTAGATGGGAAATCGCACTCATAAGCTGATCAATGCAGCCAGTTTGTTGCCCTTGAGATAATTTCTTCATAAAAGGCCTTGGTAAACATAAAGCTAAATCTTATCTCTAAGTTCTCTTGTATTGAAAGCTAGAACAAAATACAATTACTTTAAAAGTTTCAGGAACTCTATTTCTTGAAAACACCTTGTCAAACAGTAAAGAGTTAAAGCAAAAAGGTCAAATTTTGTTAAAAATGTTTTGTTGTAGGTAAAGAAAGTGGTCATGAAGAAGAAAAGTCAAGTGCTAGAGGTACCCAGAAGCAATCAAAGACATCAATTAAAACAAGTGTGGCCAATGGAACAATTAAAAAAGAGAACAGTATACCTCAAAAGAGTAGTGAAGGTAAAAGAATATGATATGATTTGCTTGGAAATGCTACCAACGCTCTATTTAGCCCCTTCTTTATTAAACCCATTTTCGAAGCAAAAAATGAAAATAACCCCTCCTTTCTATCTAGCCCCCCGTTTTGTATGAGAAAGAACTCAATGAAAGATTTAAGAACTTGATGTAAGCAAACGTTGCTTTCTCTAGTAATATAAGCAAATGTCCAATTTTGTCCCTAACTTATATGGCAGACTACTATAAGAAAAATTGTATTTCTTGAACCTGTTGATTCAAATCTTATAAATCAGCATCCACACGAAGAAATAAGCTTTTTCCCTCGCAGTGGCAGCACCAGCCACTAAGTTGTTAATGTGGGGGGCGAGGGGTGGGGGGGGTGTTGCGGGTAAAACAAAGATATTTTAGTCACGCCCATTTTACTGTAAGAAAACGCCCTTTTTACTGTACCAACATGGAACATCAATTTATTTAATAGAGAGGACTCTCGACTGATTTTTGGTAACGTAAATGCAGTTTCAGAATCACAGAATCACATCACTAAGACTTATGTAAAACCTCCTATTTCTCATTGATTTTAGACCAAATAGAACATTGAGCCCGCCGAGAACTGGGGGGGGGGCGTGTCCTACCCTTGGCGTTGTTATTGTCCCCCAGGCTTTTACAATACTTATGACTAAGAATGATTTGAATCGTTCCTAAATTGTTTGGCTGCTTTCACATTAAAAAAATTCATCATGAGGCCCTAAGAATTTCGAGAATCATTGAAGGAACAAAAAAGGCACCCAGAGATGAAAAATATGAACAACCTGTGAAGTAATGAAGCTTAAGAAATCTGATGCGCAAATACATGCACATGTATTATGTTGTATTTATTGCAATCTATGAAAGAGTGTTACCATTTGCTTGTTTTAATGTACATTCTATATCTTTTATAGAAAGGATTCAAAGCAAAACATTGGTGAAGAAAGGCAAAGCCCCTGTTGATGTTGAATGTCCAGTTAAAAATACGGTAAGTATTGACCATCGTCACCTATGCCCTATCAAAGTTTTCTATTTTTCCATTGAACTTCCAATTAATTCGATAGCTTGTTTTACTTGTTAAACTTCAGCTATTTCTAATGTAGTTAAGGTGATCGACTTATTCTCTTGATAGCTCAATCTTCAATGGCATTAATATTGTGTTATGGAAACATCCAAACATCCAAAATATCAATATAACTGCTAGCAAAACAATGCTTTTTGCACCTTCTCAAATGTTTTCTTCAGTGCCATACTTTGCTTTCGATTTTTCCGCTTCAAACTAAACTTGACCTGTAAGAAGAATACCAAAATCCTTTGACCCTGGAAATATTTTTTATGATTTTCCTATTAACCAAGTTTTTTGTTTCGTTCCATAAGAGTGTTCCTATTTTTTTGCAGTTCCATGTTTTTTCTGAAGGGGGCAATATTTGGGATGCGATGTTAAACCAGGTAACGTTGTTTTGCTAAAAAAACGCATAATAAATTCCTATAGCTAGCCTAAGTACCTATAGTCTATAGCCTAAATACCTGAGCCATATTTAACACTGACAGTCCGAGATTTGAACAGAGAAATTTCGCTTTAATCATTCTAAAACCAGTGATCTACAACCGTTCTTTATTTTCACGAACCCCCGGCATTAGCCCCGCATATAATAACACTAACCAGGCACAATGATTGGCAGCATTTTTCCAGAACCCCATAGGAGTTGGTTCACTGGCAGTTTTGTATTTGATGTGTTTCTTTTACGCTGTCATAACCTAGAGGGTTTTTTCTTAGATAATCAGGTATTCTTTCCACGAAATCATAGACGAAGAAAATTAGACTGCGTAGTCCTCTGCGAGCATTTGTATCATTAATGATTTAAAACCGCCTTCTTTTGCAGACAAATTTGCGAAACAACAACAACAAATTCTATTTGCTTCAGCTCCTTGAACATGATAAATCGAAGCAGTTTGCAGTTTGGTTCCGTTGGGGAAGAGGTCTGTCTTGATTTCCTTATCTAATAATGGGGCTTTGGAATGGTAACCTTTGCTGGTATCATTTTTCGTCTATTTTGGCAGTCGTTTCGAAATACGAATTTTCGCAGGTCTTTGCTCTTTTTTGAGTTTTGGCCAGATCATTTCAAATGTGCTTCTGGTTAGGTACGCAATACATTATTTAATCTTATTGTCTTTGTAAGTAAGATGTAAGTAAAATTGCCGAATAAAAGAAAGTTTATTGATCAACGCGATGGCTTGAAAGTCTGAAAAGACGATTGGGGAATTTAGAATAAGGAGTTTCTCTGAGAAGTAAACAGAAAATATATTCTCGCATATTTCTTCAAAATATGAATTTACCAGTATAGTAAACTATAAGTTTTCAAATTTATTCACGCTTTTTAGGAAAGGACATTTTTGTTATGATATTAAAGTGTATGCCAGTTTTCAAGTCTACTGGGGGGCCTCACCGTGGTGACTAATTTGCACTGGCCCTAGTATAAACGTGTAGACTTCATCCGGACACCAACCCTACTTAACTTAATCTTAATCCCATCTCTAACATTAAACTGTATGTCAGCAAAAAATAAGTGACCTATTCCATTTGATATGTTTATATTATCGTTGAAATTATTCAAAGAAGAAACAATGCATTTATTATCATCAAGTTTTTCAACAAAGTTTGAAAAATGGTGTTAATAACATCGCTCGTTGACCTTTAGAAACCTGACTTTGTTTTTGATATCAGACTCTATTTTGTAGTTGGTGTTGTTGGCCAAAAAAATTTAGTTCGGTGTGGAAGCAACCTATTGGAGGCAAAGAATGTTTTCACTAAAAAGTAAATATTTTACGTATAATTTTGTTATGTCTACTTAGTAATTATTTTTTCAGTTTAATTAAATGCCACTCTGGACTAAGCTTAAAGAAGTTTTTGGGATAAACGGACTCAGTTATTCTACATGGTGGCAAGGCAATGTATCAGAAGTAAGTCAGCAAAGAGGAAATTATCAAGAATAATGATGGATACGAAAGAGAGAGATCCCCCGAGAAAGGAGGCATAGAATTAATATATTTACACTTGGTACCTTGTCAATATTTCTTCAAAGTTTACATTTCAAATGCACCACGCTCTCTTTGAGAGGTTTTCTTGCATTTGGTGGTGACAGCTGATACTGCAACTGCTAATATGGCTTATTTGAAAGCCTAATTTTGTTCTCATTCAAAAATGTGACTCCAAACTGTTTAATGTTCTGGTGTTTACATTCCATTTCAGATTTTCTGACAAGACAAAAAATGAGTGGGAAGACAAAGACTGTTTTGAGAAAGTCCAAGGGAAATACGACTTACTAAAAATGGACTATGAAGCTAGCTTGCAGGTACTGATAGAAATATTTTCACCGTGCTTAAAATGGACAGATTTGACACCATTTTGAAATCTTCTTTTTTCACATCTTGATTTGTCACAGTACCCTTCAATCAAATCATTTGAACGCGATCTTACTTAAATGTTGTTTCGAAACAATTAACTATTTTCGGTAAAAAAGGCCGACACTGCACCCCCATTACCCAAAACAAATTTTCTTGATCAAGCCCCTCAGACTCTCGGAAAAAGTGGGAAACACAACTCTCCCAAACAACATTTTCCGTAACTGGAGCTTTGTTGAAAGAACAAAAATCGAAATCAATTTGACCAAAGGTTTTTCGACGGATTTCTAGAAAATCGACCTTTGGGAAAACTTGACATGCCCAACCTAGTCCAACCCGTGGCGACGCCACTAGTTTATCGTTCTATGAAGGGACTTTAATGCTCACCAAGTTCTTAAACATCCAGTACAATATGTCAGAATGGACTGCAGTGCAGACTCTTTTCTATTCGTTTCAAAATACATATTTGTTCGTTTTTATTTATTTGTAGCTTCTTGTTTGGTATATTCGTTTTAGACTATTTATTCATTTTATTCATTTTTTGTTCGTTTCGTTTTATTTTAAAGTTTTTGTTCTTTTTTATTCGTTTCATAATTTTTCTTCGTCTTCGTTCGTTTCGAACATTTTGTTTGTTTTCTTTTTTTGTCATTCAGTCACTGACGAGCGTGCAAATCGGCAATGAACTCTTCTAAATCAAGTTGAAAACTGTTTTGATTAATATGTATTTATGAATTTTTTTAGTCAGAAAAAAATTTCAGCACACAAAAGCCCACAATAAACCGTAAACACTTTATTTCATAGTTTAAAAAATGAAGTAGTTAGGATTTCAGTATTCTCGGATTCGAGCAATTTGTATCTTCACATTTGGCAAAAATGGATAACAGAATTGGAACCTTCATGTTGAAATTAGTCTGTGCCAAACATTTCAAATTGTTTGGGCCGTCAGGCTGCGGATTTCCCCATTTTTAAAATTTAGCTTTTCCTATACATTTCAATGGAATTTGTTGCTATAGTTAAATTTTTTCACTGCAGCAGCAAGTTCCGGTCAACTCTAAAGAAATATCTAAATATTCAAAACAAAGTAACATGCGACCGAACGGTCCAAACAACATGAATTTTTCAGTACTACTAATTTAAAGATGAAGATTTCAATTCTGAAGTCCATTTTCGAAAAAGATCCGTAGATAGCGAGATACAAAATTGATGAATTCAACTTGAATCCATCAATTGGCAAGATTTTGGTATTGGTAATTCAATGATGAAAAATAATTTTGGTACTTGTTATTTTTCATGAAATTTTTCGAATGTGTTACGTGCGTTTTGGAGGCAACACAGGTGTTTTCAAATGGTGTACTGTTTTGAGGGTAACTTTGAACTACCTGAAAGTCTCTAAAACCACACACTAAAAGACTTTCTCTTGCTTGCACTCACTGTTAGCTTCAAACAATTGAAAACAATTACACACCTTACTAATTGTTAGCTTCAAACAATTTTTGATAAAGGAGAATAGAAATTCTTCGCAAGGATTAAGGAAAACAATAGTCATGAAAATAATTATATACCAGTTCCTCCGGTACTTTTAACGTGGGGATATAGCTCAGTGGTAGAGCATTCGACTGCAGATCGAGAGGTCCCTGGTTCAATCCCGGGTGTCCCCTGAATTTTTGTTTTCGTCCCTCCTAATTTTGTCTTGTTCACCTCCATAGTTATACTTCCGCATTTCACTTTGTTTTTTAGTTTCAACTTCATTTCCACAAAATTTCCACCAATCACCGTTCCGGGTTGATATAATCGATTCTGCATTTCGCTATCTACAGAACTTTCTCAAAAATAGACTTCAGATTTGAAATCTTCATCTTGAAATTAGTTTACAATGAGAACTTAATGTTGTTTGTTCGGTCGCGAGTTACTTTGTTTTGAATATTTACCGGAATTTGCTGCTGTAGTGAAAAAATTCTAGCCCACTACAGCAACAACGTCAATTGATATGTATAGGCAAGAAAAGCTAAATTTTGAAGCAAGTGTAATTCGCTGCCTGACGGCTCAAACAACATGAATTTTTCGGCACAGACTAATTTGAACATGAAGATTCCGATTCTGCGATCCATTTTTGGCAAATACGAAGATAAAAAATTCCCCGGAACAGATATCTTAGTTTAGTAGATTCATCATTTCTTTAGGAAACAAAGGAAAAAGGTCTCCATTTGAGTACTCCCTTTATTCGTTTTTTCTTAAGAGTTTCTTAATTTGAATGTCATTTTTTTTAATATTTGGAGTCCGATATGCATTCTTCCATGCTAGTTTTTTGTTTTTTGTGTGCAGTGATTACCAATTTGTGAAGTGGTGAGAGGTTAATGTGCAGCACTGAATTTGAATTTTCGCAGTGATAAAATTTCCAAAAATATTTTATTGATAATCACAATGTATAAAACTTAACGAAATGTACACTTTATTTAACTGAGAATATTATAGCATTTTAAAACGTCTTTCTAACTTGTTTCCCCCATTTCACCAGTCTTGTGAAATGCCACTTTCGAAAATATTTTGAAACCATGTTTACTTTTCAGCTTTTTTGCTAGGAAACGAGTTATTTTATCTCAAATATGCCCATGTTTTAGAATGACGATGACCAAGTGGATGGAGAATCCATCGAAAAACTAGAAAGGCCAGATTCCAAATTAGACAAGCGAGTTCAGGTTTGGAGTTACTTCCTTTTGTAGAGATGCCATGATATCAGCACAAACTAGAAGCTTTTTTAACAGATTTTTACTGCTTTTGAAACTTCAACCCTACACACAAGACTTTCAGATTGATTTCAGATTTTCAAGAACAATTTTCATGTTGATATTCTTTCAATTCTTGCCCAACCCAACTCTAGAAGAAAACATACACTTATCAGTTTAACTCTTAAAAATTGGCTCAAGCAAGGTAAATAAAGAAATATTTTCCCTACATTAGAATGCATACCTATAATGCAATCCAAAAACGTGATGCCATATATCGAGCCTTCCCAGCCATTCTTACATTCGGTTCATTTTATTGTCCGTTCCAGGCATTGGTACAGTTAATTTGTAATGTGGAAGAAATGGAACAAGCTGTCTTGGAAATGAAATACGATGCAAAGAAAGCCCCTTTAGGTAAGGCCTCAAGACCTGTGCAAACGAGCTAACCTAATTGGGGAACTATAAAATGCTAGGCCAAACTCGAAATTACACGAAAAAGTAGCAAGCTAGTGTTGCGACAAACTGGCTTTAATTAACTTTCATTCCCATATAACAATGCTGGGTAACCTGAAATTGTTTGCATTTTACCTGACATGATTGTAGATTAAGGTTTTAAGTCTTGGATCAAATGTTAGTTTCTTTTGCACTTATCCTTTTGTATTTATTCACAAGACTTATCCTTTAGTGATTAATAACAATACATCGTGATGCAGACCTAGCTATAAAGGTTGTAAAGACCTAGATAAATTCTTGCACATGACAAGACTGTGATAATCTTGTACGTTCTTTTTAAAAGGAAAACTGACGAAAGAGCAAATTAATGCTGGATACGCAGCATTGAAAAAGATTGAATCATTCATCAGGCAGAAGAAGATTGGCGATGGAATTGTCAAAGCCTGTGATGAATTCTACACACGAATACCTCATGTCTTTGGGTAAGTAGAACACTCTGGCAAGAATATCGCAGTCACATGCTTTTGTAGATTCAAATTTTGTAATCAAGCAAAATGCTAAACATTTCTTCTCGCCGAGAATTGTTTTCATGATCGATAGATAGAATGGTAAAAGATGTACAGTACTGTAAGTCATTTTGCTTAGGCTGACCTTATGGAAAGATCAAAGTCTGATTTTTTGAGATTGAATACCGCAAATCCTCGAATTAACCCCATTAGGGCCTTACTAATTTAGGTGGGGGCGAAGGGGAACTAATTGTAAGATTTACAGTATGCAAAATATAGAATTCAAGACTCTGTGTTTCTTCTATTTAATAAAGGCTCTCTCAGTTATGTTTGCCTCATATAATTGTGTGTTTTGAATTCAAAGTAAGAAAATCAGCTCGAAAGTAGTCGCTAATGAAATTTTACAGGTAGTCTTGCAGAAAAAGTAAATGAAACAAAATAATATACATGAAAGCAAACTTTGTTTGGATAAAGCTAACTACAATCACTGCCAAAAGTTTTGAAAAACTATATGATAGTTTTCACTGGCAAGTTCAGCCATCCTCCTCTCTCCCTGGGAACAATGTTAGTTTACTATAGAAAACAGAAAGAGGTTATGAAGTACGTTTTTTGGCTCGTATGATATTTTTCTAGACTATCAACATTCTTTTTGTGGGAAAGGGGGACTGGGCAAAGTAGTATTCGGGAAAACATATGAAAAATAGAAAAAAGCAGCGGAAAGTATTGGATGTTCCATGCAATTTTTGCAGTGATTGTAGTTCTTGTTAAGTGCTGAATCAAGTCCAACAGGTTTTGTCTTGTGTTAGGATGCAAAGACCTCCATTGATTAGAACAAAAGAAGAAGTCCAGAATAAACTGCAGTTACTTGAGGTAGGGCATGTTTCTCTTTATAAAACCGGCAATGCAAAGTAAGGCACTTGAAGCAAATAATCTTGCCTTTCCTAGCTATATTTCCTAGCGTAGAGTTTTCGATCTATGTTCTGACGTTTAATGCTCTGAAGAGTGTCAGACAAAAAGCTTCAGTATGCTCAAATGTCTGCTTTTTTCAAAGCCATTTTTATTTTTTGTACCACCAAAAAGATTGTTTTGTCTTGCCTTTCTTCAAACACATATTACTTTTAAGCTGCAAAGAATTCAAAAAATGGCTTTGAAAAAAGGAAAGATTTCAAAGTACTGTTTCACCGTTTTAAAATATTCGTTTTTTCAAAGCCATTGTTGATGAAGTTATGTTTCTTCTTAATCAGATATACAGTATATTAACATCTATTCCACTCATAAATATCAAACTAAATTAATTTGATAATTGCGACTCAATAACGGGGCAAATGCATGTTTAGGAGACAATTCTTTGTTTTTTTTTTAAAAAAGTTTAAAACTGTTTAAAAAAGCAAGTATTTGAGTATACCGAAGCTTTTTGTCTAGCACTCTTCAGAGGATAAAACGGTTTACTTTATCGCGCATTCGATTCTATTCACATATTTTCTTAATAGTATTTATGTTTTTAATTGTATTGGATAATAGTTTTTTACGTAAAGCTGATATTCGTCGGGGCCTTGTCGAACAAAAGTTATGTTAACAAATGGACGTTTTAGATATTTGAAGGACTGTGTTTTTTAATGACTTCGTTAAAGGACAAAGAAACTAGTATGGTAATTTGAAGGTTTTTTTATATTAATGTTGAAGCTTTTGACATATACTTCTCTATTTACGAAAAAATTGAACATGTAATGTAACTTGTTTACTTTCATTTACTTTACTTTCATAACAGGACCCTTTAGATAACAGCATTGCTATTAAGCTTATAGGTTATCCTGTCTAAATATTTGTGTTTATTTTTTTTTGCTTATTAATTTACTTAATTTATTATTTGTTTATGTCATTTAAATTGTATGTATTTAGAGCACGTTTTTAGTTATTTAGTTAGTTTTGGCGTTTGGTCCTACAAAAAATTCATGCTATTCTTAATACTTTCTACTCGCTATGGATTTGAAGTATCATGAATATAAAAAAGTTTTATCAATTTACCTTTAATTTTGGTTAGTTGCACCTAAATGAAAACTATTGAGGTTATTCAAAGTAAGTTTTGATATAAAAGGATTGACAAGCTGCATGAAGATGACTGCTCGTTCAATGTGGATAAAATTGTTTTGCTACATTTTACGTTCACTCAGTCATTAAATTATTTTCACAGGCGCTGGGTGATATTGAAATAGCTCTGAAGGTTATAAAGGAAAATAAAGATATGATGTTGAACCCAATTGACAGGCATTACAACGCATTGGAGTGCGGAATTGAGCCAATGGATCACGATGATGACGTTTTTAAGGTTTTCTGTGTTTGGCAACTGAACCTTTTGTCATTACTTTTTGCTTGTATACACTGTCGTTTGCGATGTTTTTCATCACCATCTCTAATGAATGACAGAGAGAGCCAAACATCAGAATTGGGTCATCAATAATTGTAAAATTACAAGAAAGAGCAGCAAACTTGTGTTGGGATAGACTTGAGTTATCTTTTATCCACAAAGACCAATCATAGTTTTAGCCAGTGTTATGCACTATTAGTTAGGAGGTAGGGGAGTTAGGAGCTTTCCACATTTTTAAGTAACTGCACCCATTTGACCTTTTGTTTCTTCCACTTAAGACACTCCAACGAAAACGTGTTTTTTTCAACAAAGTCTTCTAACTGAGACAGTGGCAGTTGGTTGGACAAGGGTCCCCTCTGCATTGTAGTCCGTATATGGCGTTCACATTACTGCTCTTTTCAGTTCTTCTTGCTTCTGACATTGAACTTGGGCTTTTTGGAGGACGTGGGAAAGGCAAAATTATAGGTGTCACTACACCCCTGAATCACCCTACCGCTGCGAGCTATCTATGTATCCTATTTATCTATGCAAGCAGTATATCTCTGTACAAATCCTACCCGAACTGGTCCTACTGTTGTAGATTATCAATGGTGCTTCAGTATATTGTTCCAAAGAGGTAGAAACGTTTTTACGCAATGAAAGTTAGATAAAGCCAGAACTTTTACGCTATAAATTCTCTCTCGTGTTTTCATTAATTATCGTCACACTGGTTTTTGTAACTGACTGCTAAGCCGATTAATCTAGTAAAATATTGTTTGGTTTCGAACATTCGACTCATATCAAAGATTATGCATTTTTAGATTCATATCAAAGAGAACAAAGTTTTATAATTTTTGCTTTTTTGGTAATAGGTTATTGAAAAATACCTGCAAAAAACTCATGCTAAAACACATAATACCTATAAAATGGAAGTTCAAGAAATATTCAAGGTTGAAAAAGACGAAGAAATTGAGAACTTTAATGACTGTGGGAACAGGTAACCCTGCTTTTTTTACTCAATTGGCCTGTTTTAGCTAAGGATACGATGGTGACATTGTTTTTGCTAACTGATTAATCAGATTCGAACAGAACTTCAGTTTTGATTTTATAAAGTGAAGTTGCAGTCTTTGAAAACATCAGATGCTTAGAAGTGCTTTTAAAAAATGTCAAAGTTTCTGAAAAGCTACAAAAGCTATAAGAGATTTTTTAAGCTATAACTGATTTTTACAGCTAAGAAGAATTGATCACGTGGAATATCGAATGTCAAACATTGTTTTCCCGACTGATTTTACGTTTCTGTGTTACTAGAGATGAGTTATTATCTTGAATTCGGATTAGCGAATAGCTATAGAGTACCTATAAAAAAGACAAAATATAGGGGAAGGGTATGTTTTCTACAAAGTTTTTCCTGGAATTTTTTATTCACACTGAGTCATATGATGCCTAACATGATAAGTTTGATGTACGGTCTGAACATACTAATAATCCATCAATCAAATTTGTTAAGATTCTACTTATTTTTTCAGAATGCTTCTTTGGCATGGATCGCGACTCACAAACTATGTCGGTATTTTAAAGCAAGGTTTGCGAATCGCCCCACCAGAGGCCCCAGTCACTGGATACATGGTGAGTAACTATTCCACTTTCAAATGATATTATTCGATTGGGAAGAGTTGATGCCGACTGTTCTGGTATGTTTATGCAGATATGTTATGCCTTTAATATGTTTCTTGCAGTTTGTCGTCGGAATATCTGACATTTTGGACAGTATAGACAAATTAACAGCATTAGCTTGGTAGATAGCTAAAAAAGTAATATTATGAGAAAGTGTTTATGTATGATCGATAGTTCGAAGATAGCAAAGATGATAGTTTTTGGATAATGCAGGATCATAATAAAGACTGAAACAGCAAACACAAGCTCAGCCATCTTTTTTTATCCGATGAATGTCAGATAAATTGATTGATTGAACCAATTATAGAATGCGAAAAAGGCATTTGCATACTTTTGCAGATTAACGACTCTAAATGAGACTTTATTGCCAGTAAAGAAAATATTAGTATTATTTGAAATTTTTTTTTCAAATCCTAGTTTGGTAAAGGAATTTACTTTGCGGATATGTCATCAAAAAGTGCAAATTATTGCTATCCATCGCGGTCAAGACCAGTTGGATTGCTATTGCTTAGTGAAGTAAGTGCTCTGATGATTTAATGTTGACATATATAGACAGGTCCAGGGGTGTGTTATGATTACTCTTAAAACTGTCTGCACCAAGTGCAATATAAGATATCTCGTTGCTTATTCGGTATTGGCAGCATTATTTGGTCTCTATAATACCATCAGCTTACTTTACGATATCAACATTATTAATTTTTGTGTCATTTTTTATATGTTATGTGTTATTTTTTATAGTAACATAGTATAGTATAATGGGTCATTTTAGTTTAGTTTCTGGTACAGAAAGCATTTTTTTCAAGATTAAAATTGTTGCTCCATTTAAGTGACTAAGGTTTTATCGCAATTATAGGTTATTGTGCTTTGGGTTCTTTTGAATTTTGAAGAATTGTACAGATCTTCTTTGCTCAAAATTTTGCCTTGCATCTTATATGATACATTATGTTTATTTCTTTGTCAGGGCTATTAGTCAAACAATTATGTAAATTTTGATTTGTGAAATGAAATTTCACAAAAAGGTGCAGTTTGATACGCTGAAAAAGATAGGGTATGGACGCCAACTGAAAATTTCCCCCTTTGGATTTTATTAAACTGGAGGGGGTACTTTTTCCCAAGGCCCTAACCTCGTTTATGATATCTCTTCTGTAATTAGGCACAATAGCACAAAACTTTGCAACAAAAGACAGTTTGATACAGTACAAAAGATAGGATATAGAACCTTACTGAAAATTGCCCCCTTTTTCTCTTTTTAGAGTGAGGTACTTTTCTCCAGACCTTTATAGACAGTGTTATCGTATCTCAGTCTTACTTTGACACTACTGCATGGAACTTTGCAAAACAGGACAGTTTATACGCTGAAAAAGAAAGGATATGGAAACTGAAAACTGAAATTCCCCAACTGAAAATTGCCTCCTTCAGCTATTTTTAGATTGCAATTCAGTTTTATGAAGCTACATTACATTCACTAATGCCAAAACACTAAAGATATTTTAGTCAAATGGACAACCTTTTGACATTTTTTCAAAATCAGACAGAATGACAGGCTTATTTTTGGAGGTTTTTTCAAAAGTGAATGCACTGGTATTCTTTTGTTAATATTTTGCAGGTTGCTTTAGGAAAGCCAAGAGACCTTTTGGCTGCTGATTATGAGGCAGACCAATTGCCTGAAGGTATAAACAGTGTCAAAGGTTTGGGGAAGACAGCTCCAGATCCCAATGAGCAACATATGTTGTAAGTTCATCATCATCATCATCAATTTATTTACCGATGGTACTTACATAGTTTTTGAAACTAATTTAAACAAACTTATTTATTTAAAGTAAAAACCATATATTGTAATGTTTCAGTTTTGTCTTTTTAGAATATATTTTTGGTTTCCTGAAAAGAGTTCCATAATTTATCAACTGTTATGTGAAGCGATCAGCAATTAGTCAACAAATTTACTGAATATAACTTGTAAATGTTTTTTACTTTTTTGAAGGCCTGATGGTACGATAGTCCCACTTGGCACTCCTAAAGATACTGGAGTTGTGAATCCAAATGGATATACACTTAATTACAATGGTAAGTGGAACCAGTATGCTTTTTTCATTTCTTGAAAATAATAATTAGACTACCATCAGGGCCACGACTAGCTATTGTGCTAACTATTCTTTATTTGCTGAAAAATCTGAAAATTTTCAGAAAATTTTTTTCCAAGGGAGTGTCACACTTCATTTCCAGTAGCCACAGCCCTGACTACTACGCAAGATTGGCTTGCTTGTAGAGGTTTTCATTTTTTCACATCATCAGATAATCTGTCATAAAATTTTTTTTCTCAAATAGATCTTATATCTCCTATTCATTTTTTCTAGAGTTTATTGTCTACAACAAAAATCAGGCAAGTCTCTTTCCTTTCGAATTATTTTTATGCATGCTTATATTGAAGAACATGCTTTAAGTCATCTGTGAAATTCCTTGGCTGGTAATACAAAATAATGCCATAAATTTTCATGTACTAATCTAATCATGTCACACGATTTAATTTTGATGCACTTTTCTATCAAAATTTACAAACCATTATATAGTTAGAATGTCCTTTTATCTTTAAAACACTGCATTTTTTCAAGATTTGGATTGAACAAGCTTGCCGCTTCAGGGTCTCAATATAATATTATTCCATTACAGGTAAAGGCCAAATACCTTGTTCAAATAAAGTTCAACTTTACCTGAAATCCAAGAGACCCCTTTATTCCACCACAAAGTCACCATGGAATCATCAAGGACCTTGGACTAGAGCTTTTATTTTGAAAACTTATAGACTGATGAATTTTTGCCTAAGACAAGACAAATGCTCACAAATGAGGATTAGATGTTTGTTTATTGAGATTTACACAATACCTTTATTTTCTTGAACATGGTTTTCCATATAAAAACTTTTAGATATATGTATGGTTCTTTATTTCCTTTCTTGTGTTTTACAACAGCAATTTTAAGGCCCCTGAGTAGAAGGGCTCCACTTTTTACTAGACAAAATAACATTTTTTGCAAAATCTTTTGCAGTGAGTTTCAAGACCTGCTCTTGCCCCCCCCCTTTCCAACTTGTGTCAATCAAAGCCTCTGAATATTCAGCATCTAGTTGAATTAAACTGAGTTTATTTAGTGTTGTATGTCTGCCTGTTGATAGCTGTTTTTATAATTATATAAGCAATCAAATTGAATGATACCCCCCCCCCTGATATGAATTATTCTTTGCTTTGATATCTTGACATTGCACTTCAACATGTTTGACTCAAAGATAAAGGCAAAATCTCACTGGTAAATGTTTTAATAATGGCATAGGAATGATCCTAAATATTTTTGCTAGCCTTTCAGGGATCTTCCCTTAAAATTTTCCCTTACATCCAACTAGCATAATATATATCGTCCCATTAACTGAAAAGGTACTGCAGATGAAATAATATTGGAATTTACATTTCCTTTTTTTAAGAATTAACCTTGACTTGCCTTGTGTTAAATAAAGAACTACATTGTAGCAAGCTTTTTCCCAAACTCACTATCTTGAAATGACCATAGCACAAGCAAAAGATGATAACACCAAAGAAACCAAAATTGCCTTCAGAAATTCTCTCATTGCAAATATGCTTGTTCATATCATACTGAAATCATCTTCATCTTGTGGTCTACTTTTTGTAATGTCTAAAGAAATCACATTTGAATTATAAGACCATTTAGGAAAGACCCTTTTATACAAACTCAAACAGATTGTATCATGTTGTTTAAGCTGTCCATCAAAAGAGCACTTCATGTGACCATGTGTCCCAAGAGCTTCCTTGATGTGACCATGTCTTCCATATTTTGTTCTTAACTCAACAGGTTTAAACCAAAAAATGTCTTCACGGTTAAAAAACATGTGGCGAACAACAACTGACCTCTTGTTGATTTTGTATGGGTGGCCACTAAGAACAATTTTCTTCAAAATAATTCTGTCAGGATTTGATTTGTAAACTGAACCTGTCGCTACAAGGTTACCATCTTGTGAAAAGACAAGTACTGGAGCCGGTGGGAACATCACTGGAGCATATACTGAGGCTACTGCAACACCTTCCTTTGGCAGAAATCGTTCGTACTTGAACTTGTTTCCAGTAGTGTGCTGTGAAAATATTGGTTGATTCCAAAATTTTCTATAGCCAACATGAAAAACCAAATGATCCTTGGCTTTAACAGGCTCTGTGTATGAGTGATGCTTTTTTATTACATAATGCATAACTGTCATCTTGTGCTCATGAGGTAGCAGTCCAAAGATAACAAAAGTTCCTTTTGCGTGCTCAATGACATCTTTTGGGACATTTGCTATATGAACTGTTACATACCAACCAGGCAATGCCCCATCAACCTCTTCATTCATGACTCTCTTTTTCATTCTCAGGAAGTTTTGGAACTGAAAGATCCTTGCATAGTCATAAGGCAGATTTTCTTTTGAATCCCATGGTGATGAGCGAAAACTCTTTAGGCCTCTGTACCTTTGAAAGCGTACCCTAGCAGGGATATCCAATGGTGTGTCCATTTCATCTGGAAACATTTCATTTTCTCTTTCTGCTCTGTAAATCTCAAGCTGCCTTCGTTCTTCTTCAAGATCCATTTCTTGGTCATACTTAGAATCTGGGATATTTGTAGAGACAGACACAGCATCAGAATTGTCGATGTCTTCTTCATCCTCACTTTCTTCTTCACTGTCCATCATTTTCTTATGCTCTTCGTCATCACTGTCAAAGTCATCATGAGCATCATCATCATCATCATCACTGCCATCAAATTCATCACCACTTTCAACGATCCATGCTGCTTGATAGTCAGAGGTACCTTTTGGAACTCTCTTCCTACTTTTTCCTTTAGAAGTTTTTGATCCCTGGCTAGAAAGTTTCTCTTCTTGTACTAACGCTAAATCATCATCAAGCATTGCCTGCTCTCCATCCATTGGGTCAGGGATCACCTCTGATTCAAGTGTAACTTGCAAAGCAGGATTTGCTTTGCCAATTAGCTTGACATCTTCTTCCATTAGCTCTCCTGTTTCACCATCAATTGGCATGCCATCATTCCCATCCTTTTGTTGCCTTCTTTTTAAAAGCTTAAGGGAGTGTGGATCAACTGGTGCTTCTATCTGAAGCATCTGAAAATCTCCAAAACCTGGTATATGGATCAGTTTATTCACATCAAGTTGATGGCCTCTTATATATCCAGTCACTTTGAGTGTTCCTAAAGGACTTTGTTGACCATCTTCATTTTGGTGAGTTGCAAATTCAACCTTTTCAGCCAACAAAAATGGTCGGCAGTCTCTATAAAATACTGGTCGTTGTTTCTGATTTGCAATATGTCTCAGCAAAATTGAAGCTTCCATTTCTGAATCAAGTGCATATAGCTTTTCATCAGGAAACCAGGTCTCAAGGGATTTTGCTATGTGCTTTTTTGCATCAGACCTTTTCTTTTCAGATACACTTTTAAGTCCTTGAATTACATGGACAGTACTTGGCAGACCTTGTGCAAGGAGGCAAGTCATTATCTGTTCAGAATGTGCGTGGAAACTTCCTTGTGCAGAAGATAGAAACACAATTGTGTTGGCAACTTTTCCACTGTTTAACACAGAATCGAGATCGTCTATGTTTGGGGATAGAAGTGTAAGTCTCTGTCGATGTTTGATTGATGTCAAAGTTGTTGAATGCGAATTATCTGTCCTTACAACTGAATCATCACTTCCAGATAAAAGATTAATAGCTGCCTCCACACTACAAGCCAAATCAAGAGGAACAACTGCTACCACGTGTGGTGGCATTTCCTCTTTGCCAATATTTCCTCTCTTCTTTTCTAAAATTTCGTCCAGTTTACTTTTCCGTCTTTGCTTGGCCTGCAGCCGTTTCTGGAGGCGTCCCAGGCTTTTAGATTTCTTTGACACAACTTTGACACTGACACGGCCTCTGTTTGCATTATCTAACTGGCTTTTTGTCCGGTGACGTCCATGCTTGTGTGCTTTGTTAGACTGCTTCAAAGGTCCCGGTTTGTGAACCGCTTGCTCTCCCGTCACTTTCGCCATATTTAAAAACACGTGAAGAAGACGATGGATATTTGCCTCGTAAGCAAGTCAGCATCAACCACAAAAGAGGTTTTTCAAGTATGGTAGCAAACAGCATTGATACTTTCCATTAAATGCTGTAATGTCTCCGACCTCTGATTGGCTGATAGGACAATAGACCCGTCAGAGCAATAGGCTAAGTTTGGCTACCATTTACTGGTTCCCCTCACTAGGATTCTTTTGTAAAAAAAGACAATACGGAAATAATAAACAAAAACTCCTGCGCTGCTTGAAGGATTCTCTGTGTTGGTGCCAAATTTCTCTCACAATTTTCTGAAGTGTAGTTAGGCCATTTTGTTAGACACCCCTTAGCCCATTCATTGTTAGGATTTTCACTATATTCCTTTTTGCATATCATTAGCTGTGGCATACTCTCGTTCGTACGTCATATGTCACGCATCAAAGCATGGCCTCATGTTAGCGACGTCCCTTTCCATTGTTTATGTTCGAGGTGCGGGATTTTCCCAGCATTGTTTAGGCCTAGTCATAGGTTTTACTCAATCTTGACGTTATGCTGTTTTTTTACCATTTGCGTAGTTTTATGTCATTTTTGCATACTTTTGATTTAGATATGTTTATGTTGCATGGCATCATTTAGCCTAGCCCTTCCTTTTACTTGCTATCGACTAGTTACCCTAATGTTCGTGTATTTCTTCGTACGATGGAGACACAAGAAGCCATTCGAACAAAACTCTGTCATTCGTCGTAAGGCTTTCGGTTAGGTTAGGGCCTAGTAAGTATGTTTTAGATGTATCAAAGTGTCTGGGTTATAAACACAGTGTATTTCTTGCGTTTTACTTTCTGGGTCCGTGCCACATAGGAAGATTGTTGCCACAGTGGTTGTAGCGTCCGTCAAGGGAAGCATTAGGGAAACAGAGGCTAATGGAGTATAATACCTAATGTTCTATCAGCCAATCAGAGATCGGAGACATTACAGCATTTAATGGCAAGTGCATTGATCAGTGGCAAACAGCTATCATTATTGTATTTCCTTAACATCCAAAAACTCTAATGCCCTTTTGATAAAATTGATTTTGAAAGCAATGCAAAATATATTGGAATGGAAATTTCGAATATTCGTTTCAAAGCAGCTGTATTTGAAATACTGGAAATTTTGATTTTTTGAGCCAGATATTGAGAATGGCCTTGAAAAAATTCATTACGAGGCTCTTCAATGTTCTAGTAATGGCGGAACATACGCATGGGAGATAACATTGCAAAGTAAAAACTCTGTTAGGAGCGATAAAATAAATTTACAAAATGTATGCACTCTATAATGAAGTACATCCACCTACGGTTGTCGAGCATTGCGCAAGTTGCAATTTCTTCTCTGGAAAGGAGACGAACTTGGTTGTGGCGGGAACAACACAACTGAGAGTGTTTCGTCTCATTGAGCCTACAGAGGTAATTTATCCACAGATGGAATTTATTTTAAGTATAGATTGCTTTGCAGTGTAACTATTATCTAGAATTTATTTTTTGACGAAAATTAGTAGCGTAACTTTATTCTTTCAAATCTAAAAGTACATCCTAACTTCCACGAGTGATACACTACTGTTGAAGGACAAGGATGAACAGACCATTTGGAAGATAAGCCAGGCTGGGAAACCTGCGTATTCTTACTTGATTTCTTGGGCAACAGCCCGATCCACAATATCAATCAAATCAAGTCATGTATATTGTACTCTATAGTTTTGTACAATAGACTCCGGTTATAGTCACATCAAAACTTGCAGCTTTAAACCGAGTTTGACTTGAGCAGAGCTAAATTTAATAGTTTTCCATATTTAGGTCTAAAATTTATGTGACTGTAACTAGTAGTTTGACTTTAAGCAAAGTGACTGTTAGTGGAGACAACTGTATATATTATTGCTTGTTGCACAGTGGTGGCTGGCACGAAAAGAATATGGTACTAGTAAAGCAAGAAAATGTCTAGCAGAGCAAACCATCTAGAGGAAGGGTGGCACAGGGGCGTGTTCCCTGGAATATATTTGCTTTTATAGTTAATATGACCAAATTGTCTTCCAATGGCAGGTCAGAAGTTTTCATACATTACCTCGGTTTGTTTGACGTCTTGTGATATTGCCAGCTGCAGTGGTTAAATGGTCTCGCAGCATTTAATTACTAGAAAGTGGAATCTAGTACTGTGAATGATTTTTTCATTGTTGGATTGTGGAAAGACAAACGGTTTTACCTCAAGTGGAGTCACAAATGACAATGGGACAGACTTATACAGTACTGGATTAATAAGGTCTAGTACCGTGGTGTACATAAAGAGCTTATTTAATGCCAATCTTTTAATGAGAATTAAGATAAGGAGGGTCAGAATTAAGATATGGTGCATTCAACTGCTCTTCCCTATTTTGCCATTAATGCAATTATCATAGAAAAAAGCAATATCATACAATGCAAAAATATTTTGAGCTTTTACAATAAAATAGTACTAGACTGGTACCACTAGTACTACTGCAAGTCACCACTGTGCTCAAATGGCTTTGCTTTTGGCCAGATGAGAAAGTTTGTATTACAGGTGCAATATTTTCCTGCACTGCTTACTGCACACGTAAGTGCTGACCATGCAAGTTTGCTAAAAATGGCTGTGCCCAAAAAAATGTGATGATTTGTTTGCCTTTTTTTTATATCAATTTTTAATTTTTTATCTGTGCGCCCACCGTGAAAACTTCTAACAAGCATACCAAAATTTAATGTATAGATGGGCAGAAAGCAAGCTTTCCAGTCTGATGGAGTGCAGATCTATGTTTACATAGCCAACAAAGCCCCTAGAGTCATGTTTCACTTTGATTGTTAATTGTGTATCTTTGTTTTTATTTTGATCAGTTTTCGAGAAGCTTTCCAATTCAATTCATCTGCATTCAAGTTAAACTGTTGCAAATAATAGGCCTTATCATTGCTCTGTGTAAACAATGTTATTGAAATTTTAAAATGATCCAAAGTGTCTACAATGTATTTTGGTATTATAATTTCGCTCCATTTTTGTAATGTGAACATGTGGCTAGAAAATATATGTATTCTCACACTTTCATATGAAAATACAAACAAGCATAAATGGGGCATAAGAAGGTCTGACAGCTATTTATCATCTGTTGGTTTACAAATATATTATTTTTCTCAGTTTATGAATTAAGTATTTGAGTTCAAGATAGATAATGTTAAAAACATCCACATTTCCTACCACAGGATGTTGTAAAAATCTTTTGATGACTGAAAAGGTTAAAAATACACCTTAATAGTAACATATTTTGTTTATATACTCAGTGATACCAAGAAGGTATTTGAGGAAAATGCTACCAGTTCCACATTTTCATGAAAGTAATATTCATGCAGACAAAACATTTATGCCTTCTTTAATTTAAGATCAATTAAAAAATTAAAAAGACATTCAAGCATGACAATTAACTGGAATTTTACATATTGCTTTTCCAAAATTTCTGAAAAAGTGAAGAAAATGTCTTCTGGTGAAACTAGGGCCTATCAAAATATTTTCTGGGAAAACATTTAACAGAAAAAATTTGACCATGAAGATTGTCTTTTTAAAGATTACAGTCCTTAAAGGTAGTTTTATTGATTCCAACTTATGATGCATTTTTTTTAGATTCATACATTCTATGACATCATACCTCTTCTAAAATTTGTTGAGGCCCAGGGACCCAGCTAGCAAATTTCAAGTAAAATTGACAGAAAATGCTTTACTCATCACATGGTATTTAAATTCAAAAAGTATTATAAAATTTGTGAATTTACTTGAAATGCATTACTACTTTACTTTGCATTTTTTGCTGAAAAAAGTTTTAATCTTGAAGTTCAAAGAGAGCTTGAAATTGGCAAGCAATATTGAAACATTTCAAGTACCAGAATATAGATTTCAGGCTTTGTACATCAAAATATCCTTAACTATGTTATTGTGACAAAGTTTTAAACTGAGACTGTAGCTGCTGCTTTTTGGCTTGCTAATAGTGACCTTAAATTTCATTTTTACTGTAGAATGATGCTAAAGGAGAAACTGGAGGTTTGTTTGAAATTCACTTTTGTTCAATTTACATGGCTTGATTCATAATTTTTGTTTTGATATTTAATATGCTGATGCTTATAGATTGATATACAATGTTGTGCAGAAATTCTTCAGATTGAGATCATAAATTAGGGTTTCTTTGATTTTATGAGGTCCTACATTATCATAGTCTATTGATTTTTGCTTTAAATTACATGTTTGAGCAGAGTAATTCAAGCTGTAAAACAACTGCCAAAGTTACCTAAGGTTCACTGCTTAATTTTAGAGCCACAAAAAAGGTGCAAAAGCCATCACACTCAGAATCTCACAACACATCCTAATTGGCTGTCTGATTTTAACCTGCTGAGGTGCCTTAAGTGACTTTTTTATCTGTTGTGTATCAATAAGAAAAAGCAAGCTACCAATGAACTGTCATCACATTACTCGCTATCAGTTAGGCTAATTAACGTCAATTTTGTCATTTGTATTGTTTTGACCATAGAGAAAGGAAAGGTGAAGCTGGAACAACTTGCTGAGTATTCTCTGTTTGGAAATATTTCATCAATGAAAGCAGTAAGAATTGGTAACAACAGCAGGGATTCACTCATTCTTGGATTTAGAGATGCAAAGGTAATTGTTTCAATCCTCCACTGCTAGCAAACTTTTCATTCATATGCTTAGGAAGAGCATTCAAATTTGCTGATGTATATGAAATATTTTCAGCTGTCTACAATATTGTATGCAATGCAGTGCAATGTTATAAAATCTCCTTAAGTCCCATTAATGTTTTTTAAACAATAGAGTTATTTGCTGCCAAATGTAAAAGTTTTAAATTCCATTCACAGCTTTCTATTGTGGAATATGACCCAACCTGCCATGACTTGAAGACAGTGTCAATGCACTATTTTGAAAATGAAGATTTAAAGGTATGTTCTTTATTCCTTTGCATTTTTGAGAATTTCTCAATAAGAAGATGTTTCTGAAATATGTTGGAATAGGCACATACCAATACTAATAATGCAATAAGACTACAAACATGTTTTGGATCAAACAATGCAATATGCTGTTGCGTGAGATGCACTTACACTATTTGAAACAATTTTTCTCTGTTTAACTGTACATTATAGATATATATACAAAATCAACAATTGAAAGCTTCTTTGCTGGCAAAGATCAGATAGTAAAGCTCTTCCAATGAAGAGGTTGCCCCTCAGATAAAAGCATGTTTGTTATGATCTATCATCACAACTTTTCACTTACCAACCTTTCTGCTACTAATTCTATATCTATTTAACTGTTTCTCTTCCGTCTCTTTAGGGTGGCGTCATGGAGAATGTTTTTGACCCTGTGATAAGGGTTGATCCAGAAAATCGCTGTGCAGTGATGTTGGTTTACGGACGACATCTTGTTGTGTTGCCTTTTAAACAAGAATTGGCTGTAGATGAAGCTGAACAAGCACAAGCAAGGTTTGTTGAAGTTGTTTTAAAGGCAGGATATCAGGTATCAGGTTGAGAGGGAGGGGGGGGGACTGTGATATTCTTAGGCAAAAATGCGAATGTTTTATCTAAGAATATATTAGATGGCTTTTTACAGTTATAAACTTTGGAACGAATGTGACGCATTTTGATACTAGCTTAGATCTTCTAAAACTTCCTCCAGATACAAGGGATGTAAACAGATTAATCTAGAATTTTAGATGGCTGCAACTTTTCAGTATGGTCACCCCTCTTGTGAGGGATCATATAATCAATTTTGTGTTATTATTCAAATTCGTATGTTCCAATGATACACTAAACGCATTTCTGTAAAATTTAGAGCCAAAGCTAGGTTGCCTAAGCACGGTTTATTTATCGCTTGCTTCATTAGATGATATCCGGTGCTTTGCTTTGCTTCAGCGTATGATTTCTTGATTCACAGTGATAAATCTGGATCAGTGCTTGGTACTTACACAATTGATTTGCGTACGGTCGATGAACAGCTTACAAATGTGACTGATTTCCAATTTATGCATGGCTACTATGAGCCAACATTGCTCTTTCTGTATGAGCCTGTTAAGACCTATGCCGGGTGAGTCATATTATAGTTTATGGAGATTTCAACTGCCATTGAAATATTTATTCTTTGCTTATTCTGTATCTTAAAGATTTGCGTGTTTTGTTTGCACTATAATTTTCGATTTTCACACGCAAAAATATTGTTGTTTATTCAAGCTAACTATATCACTGACCAGGTTGCCGTTTAGGCATCTAAATGAGCGAGTTAATGGTGAAAGTTGATGGTTCAGTCGTTTGGTGTGTTTGTTGATAAGAATGTTCAAGAAAACATTATCGCCAGTCCACAACTTCGCAAAGACTTATAGACGAGAGTTAGATGAAATAAATGTGAAGCCCACAAATCTCCACGAAATTGATTAGCACATTAGCACTTCACTATCGTGAAGGCTCAAAGTAGCGCGAAAGTAACTAATAAAGGTGTTTTGTGTATATAATATAAGCAGAATTGGCCCCATATTGAGAAAGTTGGGATGCTGACATTGTAATGCTGGTTTCATTAGAACGGACAGAAGAATATTTATTCGTTGATTGAAAAATTTTCGGGCAGTGGCCTAGTGCGAAGAAACACGGAGATATCGATGTCAAAGTTTATTCTAAATAAAATAGAGAAATTCCCGGAGACAACATTTTAAAGACTTTCGAATCCATAGTCTGTACATCTAGTTTGCTCTATTAGATGTTACCTTAAAGATATTATACAACATAAAGAGAGTTTAATGGATTTGGAATTATCTGGTCATTGTATGATCTTTGGTCGTGTATGACATATTTCGAAATTTAATGTATTCATGTTCTTTTTATCACCAGTCGCGTAGCTGTTCGACAAGACACGCACTGCATTGCAACGATATCATTAAACACGATAGAAAAAGTGAACCCTATCATATGGTCTCTGACTGGCCTCCCCTTTGATTGTCACACGGCATTGCCAATAATGAAGCCTCTAGGTTTGTAGTTAATGTTTTACCCGATATATTGTTGATGACTGTAGAAATACATTAAATCAATGCTAGTTACAATATTTGTTAGATGTTTAATATGAGAGCCAGGAAGAACAAAATAATATTAGAGGTGAGCAAGCAATCAACTGTAGTAGACAACCATAATCATTATGTGCGACGTAACCAGAAAGATGCAGACCATCCAGGATAGACTAGGCCATTATATTAGAACTCCTTCCATCGTCAACAAATAAAGAGAAACACTTAAGGGGTCAAATATAAACAAATGTTAAGTGAAAGGGTTCATTTAAGGGTTCATTGGTGTTGGATGATAATGGCGTTTATCACTCCTGAAAGACCATCCAGCTTTCCGTTTAGTAAATGTGTTTGTTAAGACAAGATGATTGAATGTAGACTCGTCCTACATGTCTCCCTTGCTGCCATAATGATTTTTCAAAATGAGATAGCATGCCCATACTATATAGTCATTTATAAATTGTAAGTTTAATTTGAATTTAGTTCTATCATTATCATTATTCTAGCGAGCCGACGTTGTAAGGGTATTTTTATTCATAATAAATGCTGTATTTTTGTTCAGAACGAAGTTAAAACTATATTGTGAATCATAGTTGGTATATACAGTAAGGAATCAGAGGGTGAGAAAACCCTCCAGAGCAAAGAGTTTACGCAAACCTCTCAGAATTTTCACCAAGATTGTCATAACACATAATCTTGCTAAGTGTATGATGAGTTCTTTCGTACATTTTAGGCGGGGTTCTGGTATTTGCCAATAACTCGCTGATCTATCTAAACCAGAGCGTACCACCATATGGAGTGTCGCTCAACAGTATGACGGACTTCTCGACCCTTTTCCCTTTGAGTAAGTATGAAAAACTTATTGTGATTAAGCACGTCTTCTTGTGAGTCTATTCTCCCTTAATATTTAGGGAAAGCTAGATTCACAAATACACTTTGTTTTTCACTTAAACAATGTTGAATATTTTGTAATAATGTAAATGTAACGCTCATTTTATTTATTCGTTTCCTGCACTATAATTCTCTAATGTCAAAATCACATGAAATGGAATACTAATTTCTTCTGTTAGTTTCTTTTACTATGGTTTTTGTGGAAGTGAACTCATGGAATCAAAAGGTCTGTAGGTTGGTTAGCTGATATCGAAACTGCATTTAGAAATCTCAACCTTTTAAATGGGAATTTTCGTTTACCATGCCAATGCTTATTTGTATGGAGTATCAAATCAAGACTCAAAGAAAGGATCACTAATTGTTTTCTGCTTTATGTTACTAGTTAAAAATTTGAATTGTTAACCACTCTTTGTTTTAACTTGGATCAGTGGTTTTGGTTAATTTTTCTAAACAATTAATTTTACTGCACTTGATGTTGGCATATTTGTCCTGGGTATATTAGCACCCTAATTCGTTACTTCTCTTGGTTCACTTCTCTTGGTTCTGTTATTTTTTGCAATCATCTAGAAATCCAGGATATTGTGCTGACACTAGAGGGTGCAATGGCGACATTTATTTCAAACGATGTTTTGGTTTTGTCGTTGAAAGGCGGTGAACTGTAAGTTTGACGTGGCTCATTTAGACTTTGTCATATAACCTACGTATCTAATCTTGACAACAGCATTCAAAAGTGATGACATCATAATAACACATTGGAAATTTGGTGCAATGTGTTGCAAACTGGTTATGAGAGATACGACAGCATGAGCTCAGGCTCTTTCCCTGTCAAATTACTGTAGTTTTGTTCTAAATTTTATGAACCAAGCCAAAGTAATAATCTGTTAGCAAACTTTCAATCTTTGGCTATATCTCACCAAATTTTTAACACATTTAAATGATTTGCACATTTTTATAAGTTTTTTATGACGTTCTTTCAAATTATGTGGTCATTAGTGAAAATTTTTTAAAATGTATTTTTAAAGAAGAACTTTATAGTAAGCTTTACAGTTTGCAAATTTCTGTTATAAATTTGGTACTGGGGAGAAAGTTTTGGAAGAATTCTTTTAAATGTATCTCTCGCTGTCTCGTGAAAAGTCTTCTTCAGTTACCATTTTTTAGCCCTTGTAAATATTTCTCAAATAATCTGATTATTCGTTCATTATTTGTTAACACAGGTATGTGCTGACCCTGATTACAGACGGTCTTAGAAGCGTTCGAAGTTTTTATTTTGACAAAGCAGCAGGCAGTGTTCTCGCTTCAAGTGTATGTATCATTTGTGGATAATATTAGTATTAACCAGTGTATGAAGAAGGAATGAATAAGGCAAATTCTTGTCATTATTTTGCGTGCCAAGAATATCTTTATAAACAACATACCAATACAACGTGCCAATAATATAAGCAACAGTTATAGGTATGTTTCTTTCTTGGGAAGCACTCCATCCTGGGACATTTTTTGCTGTCTTCTCCCTGCTGCTCTATTTAGTTTTTTGATTTTTCCCTAAGGATTTGTTCCTAAGGCTCCATCGACCGCATCGCATTTCTAAGCATTCATCTCTGCATTAATTATTTTTCTTCAATTTATTGAATGTGAATATGCATTTGTACTAACTCAAGTATACCGTCTCTTGGAGCTCGATTTTACGCTCTTATAATAACTTAAACAAGATATTATTTTAAATTGAGTTTTTTCAAAATTCTCAATAGATTTGCACTGTCAGTGACGGCTATATCTTCCTTGGTTCACGACTTGGCAATTCTCTGCTCTTGAAGTACACAGAAAAACTTCCTGAAGATGAAAAAACAGGTATATTTATTTACTTAAGACAAAAAATAAATATAACCAATCTAGCCAATCCCAGTATCATTGTTTTGATGGCTAAAATTTAGTCTGCCAGATAGGATGACTTGGTGGGGTCTGTAATTGATCTACAATAGTAGATACAGCATTTGGTAATTGCAGTGTAACTGGAGTCGAAAAATTTAACTGTGTGGCAGTATAATGAATATTTATTTTTTTCTTACCCTCTTTGATCAAGTGAATCTGTTAAACTTGTTTCATGTCACAGACCTTGACAAAATGCCTTGGAACGCCTGTTGCATAAGCGCTGTTTAAGTAAGGTTTAACATCATAGCTATTTAAAGGAATCCATTGGACCACCCAGAGCTTCACTTTCTGCATAATACAACATTGTTCGCAGGTAGAGAGAGGAATTCAATATAAATCACCGTAAATCCTCGATTGGGCCCCCTGCCTTGAAAAAGCCCCCCCCCCCATTTAAATATACCCCCACTCTGGAACTACAAATTGTCAGTAAGCCCCCCTTGAATAAGCCCCCATTGCCACCGTAAATCCTCGAATATGCCCCCGTCAATCTGTTGATATTTGCCATCTGAGGTTGCCTTTGGCGTTTTATTGCATTACCATTTTTTCAACCAAATTCATACTTTTCATAATAATTAATTAATTGTTTATAAATAAGAGTCTTTTTTCTAGCAGTTTTGTCACCAATATCTTAGATAATTTTATAAGCCCCCCTTCCCCTCGTATAAGCCCCCCTCGAATAACCAGCCAATCCAAAAATATCAAAAATAAATAAGCTCCAAAGGGGTTTAATTTGAGGATATACGACTAGCATTGTGTGTTGGGAGTTTGTATATTGCATCAATAGCATCTCATATTTTCTTATTGCAGTCTGAGACAGGAATGCTTGTTCTGCTGTATTCATTCATTAAACCCATATATTCATTATTACTTTGTATATATTTTTCAGTAAGCTAGTTGATCTTTGAGGTCATCGTTTATCTTTTTCAGAGCCACCTGTTGGTAATAAGGTTTCACCACCACCGCCATTGAAACGAAGAAAAGTTGATCCGAACAACCCTTACATTTTTGGTCAGTATTTATTGCATGTTTGCTAATTCACCTGTCGTTTGAAGACTCACTATAGAAGATTCTATAAACTGCTTGCTTGCGTTTTCAGTTTAGCCTGCAATTCTGCAACCCTATAGACAATACATAGAGGGGTATGCTCTGTTTTAGGTAACGTAGTTATAGATGCTCTATTATTGGACTATATTTTTTCTACACGTTGGCAGCTCTACACGTTGTTCATTGCTTATTCTGTGTCTGTGCTGTCTCTTTCTGTTCGTGCCCTATCCAATACGGACTTTAACAATCACTGTTTTCCACACAACTCTGTTTTTTAGTAGCCAACAGTTATATAATTTCCCTCAAAGCAACGAATTTGCCATCGATTTAAGTTCGTCTTTGCCTTCCACTGCTACATTTTCCTTCTGCTTTTCTTGTTAGCACTACGTCGTACGGTCCATCCTTGCCCAATTATTGATCCAAAAACTTAGCACTTCTGTATCTGTACTGCTGTAACGTAAAATGCATTGATTTTAATATCAAAATACCATCATGCTGCTATGGAATTTTAGATGACCTCGATGATCTTGAAGTTTATGGTGCAAGCGTAGAAAGAAATATTGGCTCAAAATTAGTGTCTTATGCATTTGAGGTAAGCGTTACATCGATTTACCAAATACTCATTTGTATAGATGTTTGGTATCATCTTATTGCTGGATCAAAGAACAGACTTTCTTCGAAGGCTGATTTCCACAAGGCAGGGCAGCAAATTTGTCATATCAAGAATCCTTGGTTTGCGTTAGGGCAAAAGCTTTCAGCTAGGAGCTAACCTAAACGATATCTTTGAGAAAGCGCAATCAAGTTGAGAATAACATGCATTTCCATCAACACAGCGAGTTCACCTCAGTCCAGTTTAAAACCTACAGGGTCATTTAGTTACAACATCTATAGGCTGTTGTTTGTTTACTTCATAAATTTGTTTCTGTTTTTTATCAACTGTTTTTTAAGATGTTCTTTTATCTGTGCACGATGAAAGTTATGGGTTTTTGGCAGACCTTCACTTGGTTACAGCTTGCTGTCCTCAGCAATTATTTTTTCCACTACGGACATGGGAACAGCGGCTCTCTGCAAAGCCCCTAATGCTAACTACCGCATTAGTTTAGAAAGGCTTCCCTGTTATAGCACTCAGAGTTTCGAAGCCGAAGATCTTTCATTAGAAATCCCAAAAATTGTCTTTTGACTTAGATAAATCTTTAATTCGATATTTTTATTAAGGTGTGTGATAGCCTTCTGAATATTGGCCCATGTGTTGAGAGTGCGATTGGACACCCAGCATTTTTGTCGGTATGTTATTCAAATTTCTTGGAAATATTTCTCTTTTAACCTCTTTGAATTCGATTTGACGTCAAAACACTTTGTACATCTTCTTCATCCCAGTACAATTTTTATGCAGATGTAAATGATTTGCTACAAATAAGTAATTTCATTTCGATCGCCATAAAATCGTTCCCTTCATTGTTGTTTTTTTGTATATGTTCCTTGTTATATATTTTTCCTTTCATTGTTGTTCATCATGATATATGTACCTCTCTGACTACGTAGCTGTTGAAGTCAAAATTTTTCCTCAGTTTGATTAAACTTTGTCTCTTTTTCAGGAAGAGGTTTGTACATGCTTGTTATAGAATTTGAGACGGAACAAAATGCAGTGTTGTGAATGAAGCAATGGTTCATAAGGCATTATTTCTACTGCTACAAGTTCATACAAAGCTTTTTTGAGATATTTTTGACGAGAGTTACCCACTTGATTCTGAATTCATCAGCTATTGATCTCTAGGCTTTTATTTAATAAGAAAGTCTCATACTTCCAGATAATCTTCGCTTTGCAAGAGTAGAGAATAAGTTTTGAAGAGGCAACAATCATGTCGGTAATACTCTCTGTGACAAATCCATTTCTACCCCTTGCACCCCTGTAGCTTAGTGTGATCCCCTTTTTGAAGTTTTTTAATTTATTTGAAGTTCTCAGGCCTACCACATCCCGATTTGGAAGTTGTCTTTTGCTCAGGTCATGGTAAAAATGGTGCTCTTTCTGTTTTACAGGTAAATTTCAATTTTAAGCTTCCTAGAAACTCCTTTTATAGAACACTTCTTCTTCGGCTGTATGAAATTTTCTGTTAAGTTCCGTTCCGGCTTTTTCGTAGCTTTCGTCTTTCGTATCCCCGTCATGAATGTGTTACGTTGACCCAAAGAGACGAATTTGATACTTTTAGATCGCTTACAAGTTACACATCAAGACTCCGTGTCTTTTTAACTCTTCGATTTTGTTCAAGTTGTGATGTTGAAGTCGACAGTGTTAACTTTGTAGAGTTTTTCATACTTGCAGAATTTCCTAAATTACGCGTCTATATATTACTTTTTCATGTCATCACAAGTCAGATATCATGTCATCAATAAATTTATTTAGAATTTTTCCCTGAAGCACCATTATTTGCCAAGATGCTCTTTTATGTCAGTGCGACTCGATGACGTAATTGTAGTGTTGTCCTTGTTTAGTATTGCAAATATTCCAACCAGTGTTTTGCTTTTTTTGTCAATGCGACTCGATGACGTAATCATAGTGCCTTCCGCGTTTAGTAATACAAATATTCGAACCAGTGTTTTGTTTTTTATTTCAAAGAGAAGTATCCGGCCTCAGGTTGTAACAACATTCGAGCTTCCCGGCTGTACGGACATGTGGACAGTATTCTCTGATACTAAGGTACTGTCATACTCTTCATTTCACTGGAAACAGTTTTTACAAAACATTCTCTGCTAATTCAATTAGAAACAAAACTTTGTCAAAAATTTTCAGTTAATAAAAAGAACAAGGCTTCTGTTTTTGCCAAAAATCTGTGATTTTTTGTTCACTTTTTATCGTACACATTTCTATATAATCTAAGGTACTGTCATACTCTTCATTTTACTGGAAACAGTTTTTACAAAACATTCTCTGCTAATTCAATTAGAAACAAAACTTTGTCAAAAATTTTCAGTTAATAAAAAGAACAAGGCTTCTGTTTTTGCCAAAAATCTGTGATTTTTTGTTCACTTTTTATCGTACACATTTCTATATAATCTAAGGTACTGTCATACTCTTCATTTTACTGGAAACAGTTTTTACAAAACATTCTCTGCTAATTCAATTAGAAACAAAACTTTGTCAAAAATTTTCAGTTAATAAAAAGAACAAGGCTTCTGTTTTTGCCAAAAATCTGTGATTTTTTGTTCACTTTTTATCGTACACATTTCTATATAATCTAAGGTACTGTCATACTCTTCATTTTACTGGAAACAGTTTTTACAAAACATTCTCTGCTAATTCAATTAGAAACAAAACTTTGTCAAAAATTTTCAGTTAATAAAAAGAACAAGGCTTCTGTTTTTGCCAAAAATCTGTGATTTTTTGTTCACTTTTTATCGTACACATTTCTATATATCGCTCAGCTTCCGTTTATGTCCTTTTCTGAAATAGCTTTAAGTATGTCCGAAAGAGTGAAAATATTATAATGTACAGAGGAATAATTATATTTCATTAATCAGCGATGAAAATTCAAAGTTACATATATATTTTCCTTGTAAATCCGTTCCTCTGTATTGAAATATTTTTCTTATATTAATTTAGTATCTTACATTAATTTGACATTCAATTTAGTTTTGTTGAATCCAGAAGTTGTTAGATCTTCTTTTTCTCTGTTACGAATATCCAGTTTTAATTTGTTCTTTTGCTCTGTTTCTCTTTTAAAATCTTCTCTTCCCCGCTTAATCATATTTTCGAGCGCAAGCAGATTTGTAATCCTTTATTTCTATTGCGCGCTAGGAATTATTTATTTGCTTAACCAGCTAACAACAAACAGATTATGGATTGCTTTTTATTAACATGCCTATCTATTATTTATTTTGCTCAGTCAAGCAACGGTGAAGAGCGGTATCATTCATTTCTTATCTTAAGCAGAGAAGATTCCAGCATGGTACGTACTTAGCATTTTTTGCTCTTACATTCTTCACGAAAATTGTCAGATCAAGGCATAAATTTTTGGGTTTTATAAACTGCCCTCCTTGTTTTATCTTTCCATGTTTATCTGACACCTCCAAATATAGTAGTCAGATTTATTCTCTTTTCCTCTCTCTTTACGAAGGCCCTACTGTATTGCAAGCATTTTAGTCAAGGTTGAGTGTAATCTTAACTTAAGTTTCGTTAGAAAAATTGTTCCTCGGCTAGGTAGAAATGATAAATAGACACATCTATTCCTTTACTTTCCTTTTTTTATGTATCTAGAATTACATCACATTCCAATATATTACCTCTTTTATCTTTCAAATACTATTAAATCTAATTCACAAATATTTCAGATATTTGCATTATGCTTTAAAAAATATTTTTTTTTTGTTTAGTAGTAGTGAACGTTTTGTGCCATTTGACAAAGTGAAAACTGTTTTGATTTTAGTTTGTAGGTTGAGCTTTGGGCACTCTGTGTTTTCCCAGTCGTTTAAAGTTGTTTGATCTTAACATAACTTGAGTCCCTATATTTCTTTTTCTCTTATAATGTATCAAGTCTCCACTTTTTTATCTGTGGTTCATCCAGATTCAAATATTTGGTTATCTCGCTGCGATTCTCATCTTCTTCTGAATGTGCTTGGCTTTGGCAACAAACAAATTCGGGGTCCTTCACGTTTACGCACACCGGGTGCCTAAGCTTCTCTTCTTGAATCTCTTTGTAAAATCTGTCCAAGAAATCATGCTGCTGCCCCATAACTGAACCTCGTCTACACATGTTTAGCCACGCAACTGCTTGCCTCGATGTGAAGCCGTAGTCCCGTATCAGGTAGCAAGCAATCATGGTTCCCGTACGTCCAAGCCCTGCGTGACAGTGCACGGCTATTTGCGTTTCAGCTATAGAGCATATCTCCAAAAAGGAGTTCAGCTGCTTTTGTGTAGGTATACCCCCGTCTTTGATTGGAAAATCATATAATCCGATGCCCTGTGCAAAGACATCGTCAGGGAGATACGCTTCTCCGTATTTTTCATCATTTTCAAAGTCTTTGCTGTTGAGTCGTACCAAATAATCGATTCCATGTTTCAGTAGTTCTTTCATATATCGCTTGTCGACTGCCATTTTTCCATCGTCCTGCTTTGCTTTTGGATCTTTCATTGCAATAATCTTATTCGGAATCACCCAGTTCATATTGAGGCCATTCTTTAACGGGTCAACTCCGTCTAGTGTGAACCATCCATTTTTTCGAACAGCAATAATGATACCATCCAAACAATCCGAAACACTCAGTCTGTATCTTAAACTACCGTTATGATCACAGAAGCAACTCATAGCTTCGTTAGAGATACAGGACATTTTTTCCATAGTATACCTTGTTGACCAGTTCAAGTACAGAACTGCGTAAGCTCCCATAAAGAGACAGGAATGTGTTCTTTTCCTTAAGGCGTACTCATCTGCCCTGCAACAGAAAAGATTCTTTACATTATAAGCTAGGTTTTAAAGGTAGTTAGGAACTACATTTAAATATCAAACCTGGCCATTTTTTAGTTTGTTAGCGAGTAAAGCCCTTCGCTAACAGGGGTTTTATATGAGGTGTCTATTAAAGTTCATTCCTATTTCCTTCTGTAGTTAAGTATGCTCTAGGATTTTTATCTAATTTCATATTTCCAAATCTAGTTACATATTTTTTCACGAGTTACATGCTGGTAGTATCTAAGTTAACTTGTCAAAAAGATATGATAATTTGATTTAAGCAACTTTCGCATAATAATAGCCAACAATAACAAACATAGTAACAATGGATATTGCTCAAACATCTTTTCTTCTCACCTGTCATTGGTCACGTAAACAATGGAACCGAACTCTTTTAAACGCCGTTGAACTTCTGCGCAGTGTCTAAGAATCGATTTGATAGACGGAGGCGTGAATTTTGGTCCTGATTTTATAACGTAATGCTCGTCCAAGTCAACCACTTTTCTTGGAAATCTAACTGGTGAAGTGCGTACTTCCGTCTTTAGTGCAAAAAACAATCTTTGATCTATAATCTCCATTCTTCCGCTATTATCTTTATATCTGTTTCTTTATACTGATGCGTTAGGTGTTTGTCAGATCACTTGCTGATTTCTTCTGATTTTATTTCATTGCTGCACTGACTTAAAAAAGCCATCTCAAGATTGTGACGTCACTATAATTGGCTTCGATAGATATCCCAGAACACTTTGCATCGTTGCGAGTTTTTGCGAAACCTTGATATGTCGTATTCTCATTTAATGGTGCTGGTTGTAATGATATGGGTTTTTTCTCTTTAATTTTTTGATAGATTGTGTGCTTAGTCCTTGTATATAAAAAATTTTAAGAGTCCTATCATTAAAGTTAGTTTATTTTAACTTCAGAAATCAATTTTCGTAACGTTCTTTCAGATTGCTTTAATAAGGAAAAACCCTATTAACTAGATTTTTATGATGAGACCTGCTTTTTGGTAAAATTAACTACATTAGATACTGGAAAGAAGGGATTAATAAGTGTTAAATGACACAAAATCTTGGCATTCTTACATGTAAAGAAACTTTGTTAATTTAAAAACCTCCAGAAGAAGCATTGTTAGTTTAGATAAAAGCAAACATTTGAGTATATTGAAGCTTTTCGTCTGATACTCTCCAGACAAATAAATAAGCAAGCGACACTGATTGGGCAACATCAACAGTCATGTGCTCGCTTTTCTGATTGGCCTAGTTCGATCCACAACTGGGTATATATATTTTCTAGTGTAGAGTTTTCGATCTATGTTCTGAAGTTCTATACTCTGAAGAGTGTCAGACAAAAAGATTCTGCATCCTCAAATGTTTGCTTTTTCCAAAGCCAATTTTAATTTTTGTACAACCAAAACATTGTCATTTTGGCCAACTGTTTTATTTATTTGGCATTTTGAACTATTTTCGATTATCAAAAATTTTAACTCCTTTTAGAAAATATTTATTTTTTTCACCGTTCGCAATTAGGTTACACGGCATGATAGGAGGTTATTTCAGAATCGCTGCCAAGAATGATTCCTGAATAAATTGCCGAGCAAATTTCAAATAAGCCTCTTTGAATTCCTTCGAACTGAACAGGCCCAAAATTTTGCGAAAATGTATATCAGGGACCGCGGAAAGAAGAGCTGCTACTACTTGGTTGTATACTATCCAATGTTGCGCTAGAGCGTAGTAAGACTAAACTTTCCAAGAAAGTATCTAACCTATTATTGCAAAAAAGTATAGGGACTATAGACCCTGCTACCCCAATGCTTGCGCGATCCCTGATGTATATAAAGTTTAACCTTGTTTTTTGGCACACCTGCCCTATGCAGTCGTTTTAAAACTTTGCGTGTATTTTAATGAAGCTTAAAGATTCAATTGAAATGGTTTTCTCCAAAGGTACTGACTCTGACAATATTTGTGTGATATCATAGTCTTCGCATATGAAATCATAATTTTTATACAAAGAAGAGCAATTATCAAACAATGTGGTGAGAGGGACACAGGCTGGACCATTTCCCAAACCTCTAATGGCTTTCGGGCCATGAGATAATCAAGGAATTTTCACCAAATTTCAAATCCCTGACACACTAGCAATTTTTTTGTTAATTGTAGGTTTGCAAATGCGATTGAACTAAATTTCTTACGTGGGAATCAAATTCTTTGCTATGTCAGCATTCCCACAATGTTGACCACTGTCTTGCTCTATCGCCACTCTTGCTTTATCTTTTGCGATTTGGCAAATCAATGCTAGAGTATTCCAGAGTATTCAAGGGTATTCCAGTTTGGCTCATGCAATACGATGTCATGTCTTTTAGAATAGATTTGCACGGGCAAAGTTCGCAAAAGTTTTTTATTTGTGCCTACCTGGATATCCTGCTATATTTGCTAGGTATATTGACAATATTTCCATTCGTCCTATTCCGGTCCATGACGCCGAAGCCCATTTTCAAGCAATTAATATTTTGTCTCAAATTTTACAGGTTTTGAAAACAGATGATGAAATAATGGAGATAGACAATTCTGGCTTTAGCACACAGTACCCAACAGTTTATACTGGAAACATTGGAAATGATAGATTTATTGTTCAGGTATGACTGCATGTTGTTCAACCGTTATAAAACATACCAAGTTAAGTTTTCATTTAATCTAACAGAACTATGATATTGGACAGAACATTGTTACTGCAACACACTTTTCATAACCTAATTACTGGTGATGGATTATGTTTTTTCATACTTTTTCTCGCCTAACTCTTTGTAAATGCAGACTTTTTAAATGCACTTTTGTTTTTTTCAATGCGTCATTTTCCTCACACCTTACTTTCCTTTCGTATCTAGATATCAGGTCCCGGTCTAATTTTTGCCCATTTTCCGCCGTTTGCACTCGGAAGAGTGTCTGCTGAAAAGTACTTCCATATTACATGTTTCCTTTTTCCGTGCTATTTTCAAATGTTACCCGTTATTTTAATAAGGAACATAGATCTGAGCCAAGGTCTAAAGTTAGCATTGAGCTCTGAGAAGTTTTCCAAATTTTTGAACATGCTTGTAACACTTCTCAATTAGCGATGGCTGAAAAATGGTTTGGAAAAAAGTAAACTTTTTGAGTCACACGAAAGCTTTTCGTCTGACACTCTTCAGATGTTTTGTACCATCAAAAGATTGTTTGATAACTGAAAAATAGTTTGTTAGGCATCTGATTCACCACGTTAGATTAAAAGAAAATATTAGCTGAATATTTGGTTAAATGACGAAAACTCATGTCTTGAACATTCATCTTCAACATCAAATTTTTGAATACGAACCTTATACAAGAACCTTCAACTCTGTAACTCCTGTACAATTTTAAAACAAGACCCAAGAACAGCCTGACTCTTGCAAAAAAAGTTTCTTATCTGCAGGGGTTTTCATCGTTGTTGCTTTCGACTAGCTTTGGTCTATGTGAGTCTTTGTTTTCATTTTAGGTCTGTCCTATGAGTGTAAGGTTGTTACAAGGAGGTCAGTTTTTTCAGTTGTTTTACGATGTCGTGAATATTTTATTTTGTATCTCGTTACATTTATGGTATAAGTCTGGTGGTTACTCCGAATTATTCTTTTATCAATTGTAAAAGATTTTTCACTTTTTTGCCTTATTTTTTGCCAAAAAGGGTTGCAATGATATCTACTAAAGGGCAAAAATGTTTAGCGATCAAAGTGAAACAATTTTTAGAATTGTGACTTTAACGTCTCTACTTTCAGAAACTTCTATGTGCCAAATTTATAAAATGAATTCAAATTCACTGTGAAGGGCAGATAAAGCTTCTGATCTATTGGTTTTAGTTGTTTGTATTATCTCTTCCCTGAATGCCGCATGAAAGTCGTGCCATGAAATACCTGATTTTTACTTTGTATCTAATTTCAAAATTTCTTCGAATCGATGCAGCCCTCTCTGCATGTGTATATGCATGAGACCCTCCTAAGCAAGTTGAATTACCCCAGTAAGTCGCACCCTCTAATATTGTGAAAACTGTTATTAATTTTTAGTGAAACAGCTGCAGGAGATCGCAATGGATTCTGGTTCTTCTGCAATTGTTTTCTGCTCAGTGGCCGACCCACATATTATATTGATGACAACCGATGGATCTATTTTCTACGGAAAGCTAGTCGAAGATGCTGCTGGGCCACGCCTTAAAATCCAAAAGTCTTCGATTGACAAGGTATTCTTTTGAATAGTTTTTATGCTATCTTAGTTTACAATAAGTTGTGATGTTCACCTTCACAAGTACCTATTGGTTGCTTAGCATTCTCTTTTCATGTTTAGTCGATTTTGTTTCTGTTCCACACAGAAAAGAGTTTGTTTAGCATATCAGGGCACTTGGTCGACCGCTTCCTCAAGCACCATGCTATTACGTCATTTTAGTGTGATACCTTCCAAAATTTGAAAGCAGAATATTCAGCATCTGTTTCATTCAGTTACGCCGTTTAGAATAATTGGACCTTGCTTTTTAAAACCTTGCGTCTTTTCGAGATCTTATGAATAGCATGTCCGTATTGGACCACCGCCACAGTTATTCTTTTGTGTACTCATGTATCCAAAATATTCAAACCATATAGTCCTTTTGTAGCTATTACAGAAATACTATAAAGAAATAAGCAAAATGTATCTCACCCTGCTACTACTTTTTCTACAAACTCTATTTTTCACTGTCATTCTATTGAATTAATTTTTAGGTAGTCATAAGTAATCCTCAGAGGTAAATATGGTCGTAGTTCTTGAAATACCGCAAGTTGTACTCTCTGCAAGCATAGTGGTCAAGCATATGCTCTCTCTCATTTGTCGTTCACCTGAAATGGGAAACATTATTCAAATTTGTTTGTTTTGATAACGACAGCCATGTCGCTCGCATGTTTAAAAAACATCCAGCGATCAATCTGTGAAGGAAAAGCAAATATTCGTGTAAATTTCAATTATCCTGTTTTTTTATGATTCTCCCCGATAAGACGAAAAACTGCTCAACTAGGCGTGAGTTTCGAGGAAGCATTGCAGGCTCAGGCAAAAAGTTTTTTTTGAAGCTGCCTTCTTTCTTTTCGAATCTATCAGAATCTATTATATTATATTACCATTTCCCAGTATATGTAACCTCAGAAATTTGCTTACTTAAAAAAACAAGCAAGCTGCTTAAAAAAAAGCAAAAAAGAGCCATCGCTTTGTTTGTAAACTGTGCGGTGTATTTTCAAATGGAAAACATAAGGAGTTATAGCACCTTCAACTTGAATTATTCCAGCGATCTAGAATAGACAAAGTGCTATCAACAAGGTTTTCATCTAAAGAATTTTGCAAAATAACTGCTTTGTAGACAATCCTTCTACAAGATATGTTAGTTGTGTGTGGTACTTTATCCAATTAACGACAATGAACAAGGAAACAATTGAAGTGGCAAGGTACTTGGATTATTTGGTCATCATTTTGTCGTGTTATGACAGCACACTTGATCAGAACATCGTGGTTCGATTTGTTGAAAAACGTATGAACAACGTATGATCATGCCCAGCCTTAGATAAAAAATTAGAAGGAAAAAAGCATGTGTCCTCTTCTTCTTGTCAACAAAACTGATAAGATTTATTCAACTAATCATGTTGATATATTAGGAACATTTGTTGATATATAAACAATAGTAGGATCATTTAAGCCTCAAATTGTCCAAAAAATAATGATAGAAAAACTCAGTAACAATAACCTGGTTCGTTTAAAAAACAGTGCTAACCATGGCAATTGTGATCGAAAATTAGTCGCTTGCGTTTTGAGTTTCATTTGTCTGCAAGACGTTATCGTTAAACTGAGTTTGAAATTGATACACAATTTGAAGGAAAGTAATAATAATAAAGATGGCACATGCAAGCTCTATATTTTTGCAGTTTAAAGGACGAATTACGTCAAAACTCCGAGTTGATTCTTTAGCAGGTCATTACTTGATAGATACGTCTGTACTAATTTTCTTATAAAAGTACAAGAAATTTAAACATTGAATACGAACCTTGAATTTTCCTTCCTCTCTCCACGTTCCAAAGTACATGTAAAAAATACTCCCAGAATAGAAAAGCTCGTGCTTATACACCCTTTATGTAAATCTGAAACAGGAACTGCCTCTTTTCTTCAAAAGGGATAGCCCTGAGTAGGATTTGTTTCTTTATTCGGACAGCTTTCTTTTTTTCAAGCTAAAATGCGGTACGCATTCTCCGGGAAACAGGCTCCATAAGCAATACTTAAACTTCCTATGGCTTTTAATATGTATGCAAGCCCTCACAGGTGTTTTTTTATCAAACTCTTCCTCTTGTATGAATTTCGGTTCCGCTATGTTAAAGATTTGACTTCTACTGCTTGTCTTTTTCTACCATCAATTGCTTGTGATCCAGATTGTATATTCTTTTTTTGGTAACAAGAACGTTTACAGAATCCAATGGTTAACCGATAATTCCTCTTCTTTTTCTTTTACTTTTCGCGACATGAATGATCCCTGAATGGCAATCAGGTTTTTTATTACTCCCGAATCTACAATTACAGTCAAAGGCTATTGTTTTTAGGCGGAAAAGTACTATTGGGAAAAGAGATCGCCTGGTCTGAGGGCCTAGTCTTTCTGTTTTGCTCAAGGGCCTACAAAACTTTCGGCGGCCCTGCCTCTATCCACCCTCATTAAACAGTGCTGTGACCTTTGTTTCTGCATGCCTTGTCGCCCTGTTTTTCTCTTGATCGAGTTTGTGTAAGGATATAGCTGAAGACCATTTTTTCACGAATACCTACTATCTTCTTGCATATCTGGCTGCTCCATTTTTGGCTGGATGGCTGATGCGTTTTCTACAGCCTGTTTGCAGATGATGGAGGCGTAAAATAGTTCTGCAGCCCTTTGTGAAGAGCCATGTAAAGAAGAATCTGTGCACTCAAAGCAATCATTGGTTGCAGTAACATAATCTCCGTTTACTTTACGTGAATCAATAGAATCAGTTGCATCCGTGGCCCTTGTTGGCTTTTTTTCAGGCATCAATGTATTTGCCCAGCAAGAACACCACTAGCTTTGAACTTTTTTTCGCATAACTAGCATTTAGATGTGTACATTTCTTCTTCGACTGATTGGTGCCATGTCACTGACGCAAGTTCACCCCGTTTTAGAAATCTACTTCGATAACAAATTACCCAGGCTGTAATATTCTTTATGGAATTCTTCTTAGTGGCAATCAATGAAGTTTCTATTTTACTAGCCGGTACTCAAGATTGATAACTCAACTTACTTCATCTTAGAAGTTGGTTCCATAAATAAATTTTCTTAAGAAATAAAGTATCAAGAACTATTTCCTCGTTGTTAGAAAAATGGCAAGCAGATTGATAAAGTATAATTTTTCAGATGTTGGTACACGGCTCTTTGTGGACTGAACCGGGGTTTTTTGTTCAGTGGTGCTTGTCTTAAGAGTCTTTAGGCGATCTAAATAATTCATGTTCCTACAAATTTTACTTTTTTAATCCAGTTAAAAGTATAGAACGCCGACAAAGCGCAGTAAAATATGTATTTATTATGATAATCGCCAGTTTTTTTCGCACATTGATGCCAGTCATGTTCTAGTCTTGTAAAACCCAGGGTCATGCGATAATCATTTGACGGCGGGAGAAACAGACTGCTGCCGCGCACAGGGCAATGTAGTGGCTGCGACAATATTTTCAGGCGTAAATGGGACTAAGGCCCAAAAGAAAACGTGTATAATTGGGATTTTGTCTTGTTCGGAGAAACTGTGGTACGCAACCCATGAATTTACGACGGCTCAGATAACGGAATTTTTATAGAAAGGGAAATCTACATAAATATTTTTTTTTACTTCGTTGCATGATCCCAAATAGCAGTTATTTTAATGCCGTGTCAAGACCTAGTTTAGAATGGGGTACTATAAAATTTAATTTTCAAATGATATTATAAAGCCTTTATCCTTAAAAACATTGTAATTAAGATACCTTTTATATCATTAGCATTTTGCCAAAGGCTCCTTGACCTTTCTCTAACATCAGCAGCTAAAAAAACTTTTTTCTCCGTTTTTGATACTTTTGAAATGTGAAAAAGTAAAACGAATAACAAATGTATCTCATTAATTCACCCCATAAATCGCTATTTGAAAACCCCACATATCGATAAAGAACAATCCTTTCTTTTCAATTTTAGCTGTTGTTGCGCTTGCATGCATGCAATTGTTATTTCTGGAATATCGTCACGGCACCTACGTCATCAAATTCTCGCCCCAGTCTTTTTCAAAGTGCATGATTCTTTAAAAAACGATGGGAAATACGTGCTCTTTGAAGTGAAGTTGAAATAAAAAGTGAAATTTAAAACGTTTTGTTAATGGAAATTATCAATGAAAATACGCATTGATTACCCCATATATTTCCTTTTTAATGGCGAAACGCATCGAATACAAGGGCATGTAACCCTATTTTATGTTACCTTTTGATTTCATATTTCACATTGGTTCAGAATGTCACAAAATAGAGACGTGGAGTCATGAAATAAGCATACAACTCTGCATTGACTAAGCCATTTTTCGCTATACCCCATGTTAGTTATATGCAGTTCGTTTTATGTCGTCATCAGAAGCTGATACGATCATAGTTTTTGTGAAAGATGCTTCCAAATGCTGTTTTAACTTTGAATACTCCGCTTCCTCTCACTTTGCATTCCATCCACCAACCAAGTATAATTCTTGAAAAATCTTTGATAGTCCTGTATTCTTTGCATTTGCTATTCACCTGAGAAAGAAAATACCATTCAGATTTTTTCGTTTAGAAAACCCCACGGAAAAACCGCTGGCGGTTTTTCGTTTTGAACCATCTTCTATTGTTTTGTTATACCAGAACACATGCATTCAAATTTTTACCAAGTATCATAGGCCGATTTTAAGATTACATTTTCTTATTTTTTCGTTCAGTTTAATCCCTAAAGGTTTCTTACAGGTTTCATAAACACCAAATGCTTTTGAGCCACTTTTTAGAAACACACAATCCTTGCCAAAAATAACTGGAACGCCTTCCCATTGCAGCATGCAAATAAACAAAGCAAGTCTAAAACTACCTTACCAAAATCACTGCCGCTTTAAAAATTTCGACCCCCTCCCCCCGTACAATGTTGATTTATTTTCTCAATACCTTCATACAGCTTTCAGTGAACATTTTTTTTATCTTCAG